TCAATGTTAAACACTGATGTATTACAGTATAAATATTGTATAATACTGAGACAATATCATTTCATAAGAAATCCTTGACAAAAGAGACATAAGGTAAAAATATCAAAACATTCCTTACTATACCACAAGTCTGGAGAGAAATATTATACAATTTCTTACTATACCACAAGTCTGGAGAGAAATATTAAACAATTTCTTACTATACCACAATCTGTAGAGAAAAGTTAAACAATTTCGTACTCTACCAAAAGTCTGGAGAGAAATATTAAACAATTCCTTACTATACCACAAGTCTGCAGAGAAATATTAAACAATTTTTACTATACACAAGTCTGTGTGAGAAATATTAAACAATTTCTTACTATACCACAAGTCTGTAGAGAAATATTAAACAATTTCTTACTATACCACAAGTCTGTAAAGAAATATTAAACAATTTTTACTATACACAAGACTGTAGAGAAATATTAAACAATTTTTACTATACACAAGACTGTAGAGAAATATTAAACAATTTTTACTATACCACAATCTGTAGAGAAATATTAAACAATTTTTACTATACCACAAGTCTGCAGAGAAATATTAAACAATTTTTACTATACCACAATCTGTAGAGAAATATTAAACAATTTTTACTATACCACAAGACTGTAGAGAAATATTAAACAATTTCTTACTATACCACAAGTTTGTTGATAACAAAGTAACTGGTCAACATGTAGAAGAAAGAGTGATAAAAACATCCTACCACTGCTGGGGTTTGAACAAAAGGCCCTTCCGTCTCTAGTCACACAATCTACTGCAGACTAAAGGGAAATTCCCACAAGGCGACACCAGTAAGATGACTCTCAACTTGTACCCTACTCTCTCCTTCACAAAGTCCTGGTCACGGCACCAAATTTGTAAAGGAGTAATGAAAAACACCCTGCCATCATTGACTTCTAGTTGGATGCTCTTTTCATAACTAAATGGAAATTCATTCTAGTTAAACAGGCATCCTATATTTTCAACTTCTACAAATATACTTTTATAAATAAATCAACAATATACAGCATGTTTTGTTAAACAGAATCTGATTAAATACATCTTCGTTAGATATAACAGTCACACATACATAAACCTAAATTGTGCTCATATAGACAGGTGCTCTTAATAAAAGTTAACAAACCAATCCAGTATCAACAGTACATTCTAACTAATATTATTTCTAAGTAAAGTTTCAAAAAGATCTGGAAAATAGTCCCAACACCTGTGTTTTCAGCAAGACACAATATAGGCTTAGTATAACACCCTAAATAAACAAGATCTGTAAACCAGCAGACAATTTCTTCTAAATGAAGTTCATTAAGAACAAGACATGACATTGAAGCTAATCCAGTAAACTTCTCCTATATAACAAAAGACACTGTTTTCGGCTGATTTATTATTCTGATGTTACGATGCTGTGACAAACAACTGTGAAATCTATTCCAGCCTGTAAAGCTGTACAAGGTAATACTGATGGAACACAGTGAACAAACATGTTGCAGCATAAATCCAGTTAATTAGGGATTCCTTACCCATAGGTTCCCACCTAGTGAAAGTTATCTCTGTGGCGTTTTCTGACCCCCATCTTAGACTTGTTTAATGTTTTTCATAACATTGTTAACAAGAAAATTTGGTATATGATGTACATTCATTGAGAGTTAACATATGTACATTTATATATATACGTCGTTAATAAAAACGGCCAATTTCAATTCATATTGAGTCTTTGTGGTTTATTTACAAGTCTAACAAGCTTGCCATGGTAGCTGTTCATAGTGGAATCATTGATAAAAATTTTTAAGTGTTTCCCTGAAATGTTGTCTCACCGATGACAGTCAAGGGCATTTACTTTCACAAACTCTGACCTTAGAACATAGGTCAACTTCAATTCTTTATGCAAACTCCATTGGGCTTCATCCTAGGAACATGCCAGCCAAATATCATGCCTCAAGGCTTTTTAGTCCATGATAAGAAGGCGTTTCAATGTTTTAACAAACTTGACCCAGTGATCTTGAATATAAGTCAAGGTCATTTATTTTTGCAAACTCCTTTGGGATTCATCATAGGAACATACTAGCCAAGTATCAAAGTATTTGGTCATTTGGTTATTGAGAAGAAGTTATTTAAAGGAAAAAGTAGACACTAGATGAATGATAAACGCCTGATGCAGGACAACGCTTCGTGGCATGAGCTCACTTGAACCTTCCGGCCAGGTGAGCTAAAAATTAGATATCTGAGGCACATATTAAAATGAAACACAGAAAAGAAAATTATTACCCGTTACATTAACATAGAACAGTACCTGAAAGACACCAATTCTATAAAAAGATATGGTCCTAATGACTTGTCCTATTGAACATAAAATGACATCAAATGATGCCCTACCTTGTAGAGGTTATTTTTATAGGTCTCTGTTTTTACATGATAACTTTGTGAAAAAACTCTTTCTTGCTTCAAGCTTTTGGGGAAATCTGAAAAACTTGACCCATTGGAAAAACTCTCTATCTTATAACCATCACCATAGCAACACATTTTCACAAAAATCAAACTTCATCAAAATACTCACTTATAATTATCGTTAAGTCAGTTATTTTGTTCATGCTGAAATTTGGTTACTAGAAGAGTTACTTTCTTTGATACAGCCATGTTCCTGTCAAACATTTGTTATTTTTTAACGCTTGATACTATTTCCTCTCTCTCAGTAACATTTATTTCTCAAAAACAAACTGTTTCCAGCCAACATGAGACAGCAATATTGCCATTTGCAAGTCACTGATTCACTCTCTCACTCATCAAATTTACAAACTTGGAATGCTATAGTAAACATATAGAATATATACATAGTATAATGTATATATATAATGTACATGATATAATTAGGTAGACTTCTAGGAAGTCTGCTGCATATAAAATACATATTATCTAGCCATCTTATCATTTGAGCTTTTCTATTGGTTGAATCTAGATCACATGACCACCTCATAATTTATAATGACTTCAGTTATATATAGTGACTTTATCAGGTCATTATTACATCCTATCACTGTATTAACTAAACAGTGATACCAAATTTACAAAGTAACTTTGTAAACTCACGCTAAATATGATGACTGCAAATACACTGAATTGTACACCAGAAATGAAGGAAAATGATAATGGCACTCTGAGATTGAACTAGAGTCTAAATCTGAGAATTTTATCTGAAAACCTTGAGAATAACTCCAAGTTGTTATCCAGGTCATAATCTCAGAACATAAAACAGTATGTTAACGGTAATTCTTGTTGGTATGTGGTTTTATTGAGGGTCACTGACCCAGATCAAACCATACATCAAACTATCAACATGATATGACTTATGTACTTATCAGGCAATATGACAATGTGTGGTAATAACCCCACTCCTGTTGATGACAGTTCTGACAGCAGAAATACAGTTCTGACAACAGAAATACAGTTCTACAGCAGAAATACAGTTCTGACAGCAGAAATACAGTTCTGACAGTAGCAGAAATACAGTTCTGACAGCAGAAATAAAGTTCTGACAGCAGAAATACAGTTCTACAGCAGAAATACAGTTCTGACAGCAGAAATACAGTTCTGACAACAGAAATACAGTTCTCACAGCAGAAATACAGTCCTGACAACAGAAATACAGTAACGGAAATACAGTTCTGACAACAGAAATACAGTTCTGACAACAGAAATACAGTTCTCAAAGCAGAAATACAGTTCTGACAGCAGAAATACAGTTCTACAGCAGCAGAAATACAGTTCTGACAGCAGCAGAAATACAGTTCTGACAACAGAAATACAGTTCTGACAGCATAAATACAGTTCTGACAGCAGCAGAAATACAGTTCTGACAGCAGCAGAAATACAGTTCTGACATCAGAAATACAGTTCTACAGCAGAAATACAGTTCTGACAGCAGCAGACATACAGTTCTGACAGCAGAAATACAGTTCTAACAGCAGAAATACAGTTCTGACAACAGAAATACAGTTCTGACGACAGAAATACAGTTCTGACAACAGAAATACAGTTCTACAGCAGAAATACAGTTCTATAGTAGAAATACAGTTCTGACAGCAGAAATACAGTTCTGACAGTTCTGACAACAGAAATACAGTTCTGACAACAGAAATACAGTTCTACAGCAGAAATACAGTTCTGACAGCAGAAATACAGTTCTGACAGCAGAAATACAGTTCTGACAGCAGAAATACAGTTCTGACAACAGAAATACAGTTCTGACAACAGAAATACAGTTCTGACAGCAGAAATACAGTTCTGACAGCAGCAGAAATACAGTTCTGACAACAGAAATACAGTTCTGACAACAGAAATACAGTTCTGACAACAGAAATACACTTCTGACAGCAGAAATACAGTTCTACAGCAGCAGAAATACAGTTCTGACAGCAGAAATACAGTTCTGACAACAGAAATACAGTTCTGACAGCAGCAGAAATACAGTTCTGACAGCAGAAATACAGTTCTGACAGCAGAAATACAGTTCTGACAACAGAAATACAGTTCTGACAGCAGAAATACAGTTCTACAGCAGAAATACAGTTCTGACAGCAGAATTTATAAATAATATTGCTTTAGCAGTAAATTTATCTGAAAGTATTGCACTGAGATATCACTGTATTACAATTTCTCTGTGTTGTTTATATAACAATGGATATACAAATTAGACATTGTTCTAATTTGCCGAAAAGTGATAATACACTAAATTGTGACTGCCACACTATCTTCACATGAGATTACACTCACACTTTCAGTACCAGGTAAAGTCCTGGATTTATCAAGAATAAACATTCTGACTAATTTTACCCTCTGTACTGCGACTGAAAGGTTGCCTGCCGGATATACTTGAAAAGATGAGCCCTCATATGACCAAAGATAAAATATTTGAATGTTCTTGTTTCAAGTTCAACAATATGAAGGTCACCGAGAGGCCAAGGTCACGTCCATTTGATGTCATATTTTTGCCAATCTGGTTTTGGAGCAAAATAAATTCTCTGTCCATGGTGGACGAAGCTGACAACTCCTCTGTAAGCCACACGTGGGACACCAGCCTATAAACAACAAAAACACAAACTGTTTTATCATCGTGTTTATGTAACTGAACTTCTCTGCTATATTTTTGTTACCTACTTGAGGTAATTAAGACTTCTTTTTAAAAATTTCAATAAGGGAGCCTCTCTAAGACCACTCAGACCAGATCAGTACAATTTACCTTTTCTATTAAATCTGAGAATAAGAATCAATATTCTGCCTCTCAATCAACACTTCATAGTCTGATTTGATCGTTTTATGAATTGATACTTTTCATATTTTTATTTGAACTTACATATTTTATTAATATTTTAATCAGTTTTAGAGTCAATCTCCAGGTGGTTCTGAATGAAAATCTACTAAATAATTATATATATATATATAATGTAGATAAAGCACAATGCTCACATACTAGTTAAGTTTATGTCTGGTACCAAATTATTCCCAGAAGAGGACTGATCTCAAAAAACGAGTGTGAAAATCTAGTTGGAAGGTGAATTCCATTGGTTTCTTGGTACCAAAACAATAACTCATATGTGAGAAAATACAACTGTGTTAGCTCCTAGATTTGTAATTATGGGGCAAAATATACCACTATTAGCTCCTTGTTTTGTAATTATGGGGCTAAATATACCACTATTAGCTCCTTGTTTGTAATTATGGGGCTAAATATACCACTATTAGCTCCTTGTTTGTAATTATTGGTCTAAATATACCACTATTAGCTTCTAGTTTGTAATTATGGGGCTAAATATACCACTATTAGCTTCTAGTTTGTAATTATGGGGCTAAATATACCACTATTAGCTCCTAGTTTGTAATTATGGGGCTAAATATACCACTATTAGCTTCTAGTTTTGTAATTATGGGGCTAAATATACCACTATTAGCTTCTAGTTTTGTAATTATGGGGCTAAATATACCACTATTAGCTTCTAGTTTTGTAATTATGGGGCTAAATATACCACTATTAGCTTCTAGTTTTGTAATTATGGGGCTAAATATACCACTATTATTCACACGAGTAAATTCCAAAAAATGCACAATGAAAAGAGTAACCCAATATATTTTTCCTCTTCTGTAAAGATTTTGGTTTATTCTTTAGTTGATGCCCTGTTCCTTTCCTTTCAGGTAATTCTCCTTCATCCAAAGATACTTTCATCCCAACAGACACAAAATTTTAAAGTTTCCCCTCCTTCTTAGGCCCACCCCTTTGCCCCAAAAGGAGGTATGGCACATGGTTTAAACAAAGACCCCTTTCCACACTAAAATGACAAAATTAAGTCATTTCTACAGAAGACCAACATTTTAGACGAAATGGATTCCACTTTACAGAAAGATGCATCAGACCAAATTTGAACAAATTCTGTCATTCCTATAGGAGGCTAATCCAGTCTTGACCCCTCAAGCCTCTGGGAGCCAACATTGACTGATTATACAGAACTGATTCAACTTTACCCACAGACCCTTGTTAAACCAACATTTGGTCAAACCTGCACAGTTATTCACGGCAGCAATTCTTAGAAAAAAGTTGATGAACAAAAGATGCTGTGCCAAGGTGTAAGCTTTTGTCTTTAGGACCAGGTGATCTAACATGAACATTTCTTGAAAAACAAATGACATTAGATGATGATATCTACTAGTCACTAAGTCCTACTGTAACGTTAAAAGATGTCATTCTGTCCAGATTCTAAACAAGCTGGGGAGTACACAAGCGAAAAGATTGTTATCTCTGCTCAAATTACAGAAAATGACCTCCAACTGACCTTGAAATCATCCATGATGCCAAGTTTCTTGGCAGTTGCCTTGAATTGTTCCTTTGTTGTGTATGTAACACGTAGTGCCTTGAGGTGTTTTTTACTTCCAGACATCACTTCAGCAACCGTCACCTCTGGTGTGTCATACACCAGACGTTTGAACCAAGGGTCATAATTCTCCTGTAATATATACTTACATAGGTCAAAGTTCACACTGGTTCTTAATTTACCTGTACTACATGAAGTTATCGTGCAATACATCTTAACATAGTGGTCACAGTTCAACAGGAGTCAAACTTCTCCTCTAATACATAAACACAGATCTTAAGGTCATAGTTCAACAGGGCGCATAATTCTCCTATAATACATAAACATAAATCTAGAGGTCAAAGGTCAACAGGGGTCAAAGGGTTCCAGTGATATATGAATATATTAAATTTGCCAAGAAAACATATTTGAGTGTTCTGGCATTTCAAAAATTAATATAAATGATAAGGAGGAAATGAACACAAAATTGTTTTTAAATCAAAAATAATTTTAAGTTGTTATTTAAGGCATCAATAGCAGAGCTGTAACTGTAGTACTCTGATCTCTGTATCATTTCATCCTTTCTCTCATGTAACAGCATTAACACTGTTTACACAGTGACACTGCAGCACGTATCATAGGTTTATGTATCTAGGTGTACTTACCTTCATGAGGTAGGACAGATTTTTCTTTGTGAATGCTACAAACTGGTCATTCAACTTGATGTGTTTTAAATGTTTCTCAAAGTATAAACCCCTGTAAGAACAAGAAGGAAACCTCAGGAAATCTTTCCAGTTTTGAAACCTTAAACAAGATGTAGACAAATCTTAAACAAGATGTAGACAAATCTTAAACAAGATGTAGACAAATCTTAAACAAGATGTAGACAAATCTTACACAAACAAAAGATTTTTTTTGAAGATTGAAATTATCATGATTTTATCAAAAGATTGAAGCAAAAAGGAAGTCTTTATTTATTTATTAAACAGGTTTTATGTCCACAATTACGACCTTTTGACCTTTCAGCAGATGAGAGATCTATAATTGTCTTCTTTATTCAGTATGTGCCATCTTCAAACATATATAATTTTTAATGATTTTATTAATTCATTAAAATTTGCCAAAAATAGAAAGTAACAACCTAAGCAGTTTTCTGATTGGTAACTTTATCAATGATAACCTCATAACCTGATAGCCTCCATTTTGATATACAAATGATACAAATATGGTCTGACTTCAGTAGTGTTTAGGTTTTTTGACTGTGTGTTCCATTTTCCTTCAACAATAAGAAAGTGTGTGTGCTTCCATCCAAGCCAACAAAAGTGATTAATATAAGTTGGAAAAATTCATTTCACAATTATTGTAAAACAAAATAAGTTTAATCTTAATGATATGTGACCTACTTTCTGACCTCAGTAATGATACCTGTGACTACTTTCTGACCTCAGTAATGATACATGTGACCTACTTTCTGACCTCAGTAATGATACAGGTGACCTACTTTCTGACGACAGTAATGATACAGGTTACCTACTTTCTGACCTCAGTAAAAATCCTTTTATTTCTGTATATATGACCTATGTTTTGACCTCAGGAGTGATATACATGACTTACTTGCTAACTCCCTTCTTTCCAAATGTACTTGTTCTACAAATCTCAGGTCGTATACAAACTCTGTCCTTCCTCTGGTCCTGATGGCGCATCCAGTCATCCCAGAACCTGTCAAGATCATTCACTCTGAATTCTATTCACTGGACAATCAAACTGCAAAGCTTGTCATTATTTTTATTTCCTATCCTAGCAAAATCATCATTATGATATCATTTATATATAAGTATATACATTATGTAGGCACAGGGTGTGTAAAAGTAAAAGTATAATCCAATATGGCCACTGGATCTCAACTTCCTGTATTTAGAGGTATTACTGTATAGATATATAACAAGAGGGATTATAAACAGGCCAAAATTCTTTGTGGAGGTCAGCATCATCATATACTGCTGGTATGTATAGGGTTTATAACTGTAAGACACTCACACTCGCTGCTCAATGAATAATTAGCTAAATAATGATGAAAATATAATCTAATAGTACATATTTATCTGCAGTGATTTTTTTTGCCCTATTTGTTTACTCGAGTCAAAATTGATGTTATTTCCCTGAAATGAAGCAAAATCAAAAAATATTTTCCCAATTTTCCCAAAAATTCTGCTTTATTTTCCCAATTCAATAAGGCATAGGATGCTGTAAAATAAAAGTAGAAAAAACAAAGATCTGGCGTACGTTATAGGCCACTTTGGTCCAATCTCCAGCCATGTTTTCCTTTCCATCATCCAGCCAAGTCCAGGAAAGAAGTCAGACCTGTACAGCAGTTCTGTCATTACCAGAAACAAAAACAAAAAACACAATAAACATGCTTTTTCTCTGAGAGTTAACACTGTGGCCATCACATACTATCCAAAACAATCTGGGTAACATGGCAGTGTCATAAACCTTTTATCAAACTTAAATGTGACAGTGTGTTTTACCTTACAATCAATTTTCATGACATATTTGTCACATCTGTGTTGATTCAGACAATGTCCTCTTATGTTTGAACATGTGATTTTGAAATTTTTACATAAAGATCAATATCTGGTGATTCTTGTATTTTCTGTGACTTGAGCAAGTCATGACATGGCCAATGTCAGGGGGACAAAATCTGGTGATGTGGTCAAAAGACATGACCACAACAGTACAAGGGATTGAATCACACTGAAATGTTCAACAGTCTACTGCCAGAGCTAAGACAGAAATTCTAAAATACAAACATCAAACACTTATAGTACTAATGATAGAACTAAACAGCTGAATACAAACTTCTCACTTCCGGTTTTTATCAATAACCCGGTTTTGTTTGACGGTGACTTACCCGCCTCCTCCGAAACCATTCCATTCTTCCCATTGTCATTCCATGCTGACACACACCACACTGAAGGGTCAGAGGTCAGAATGGGATAAGTTGCTGAGAAATACTCAAAGAAATCTGGCGAGATGTCAAGGTCATCTGAAGAGCAAAGTTATTTTTAGATTAGAATCTGAACGTATGGCAGTCATACTTTAGATGTGAAAATCAATTAACAGTGTGTTACATATAATTATGCATAAATACAGGAGAATTCAATACAGGCCCTTAATCTTCAAACCTCAAAAACATGTATGTAACAACATTTCTGAGATATCAAATAAGAGATTGTGTTAAAAAGATTTTTCATTAATGGCATTCATCAATTTATGAAATTTGGCAACACAACAGAATGTGTGTCAGTGTGTTGAATGGAACTTTTCACCAAGACAACCTGGGTTTGGGGGCTTGTTAACACCTCTGATTGGATAAACAAAGATATAAAAAAACAGACACCAGACCAAGAAAAGTGATAATATTTCTGAAGGTTTCACAACCAAAAAATACTTTATACATTATATGTGCTATTGTCAGGTAATCTCTGATTTAATTGATCATCAAATCTAGGAACTTAACTTTGTGATCGTTTGCTACGTTAATTGCCCCATCAACAGCAGGTAGGGTTTCCTCATGGTTATCACACTGAACACCATAAGGGAAGCCTGCCACATGCAAACTATGAGATAAAATATCTCGTCAAAGGACACAACTACAACAGGAAAATCTCTGCTTCACAAACTGCTCAAGTCTGAGAAACAAGAGGACCATGGGCCTTAACGGTCATCTGACATGAAATACAAGATTTCAAATTTTGAACTTGAGAAGAAGTCGAAAATGTGTTTTCAAGGTGGCGGCCATGGTGGCCATGTTGGATTTCAGACCAACCTGAAATTAACAAACTTTGGTCAGGATCATGTCACGATTATTTCAGGTAAGTTTCAGCTCAATAAGACATGTAGAACTTGAGAAGAAATTGAAAATGTTTACGACGGACGCTGGATGCCGCCGGACAAAAGGTGATCGCAATAGATCATCAGACCCTTTGGTCAGATGACCTAAAAACCCCTACCTCTCTGATCTTTAGGTTGAATTTGTCGGATACGATAACAATCTGATGTAGTAACAATGAAGTGTTTACTTACCCTCTACAATGATAACAGTGGAGTAGTTGAACTTTAAGAAGACCTGGTCCAGGGCCCACTTGTAGTGACGAGCAATTTTATAATAACCTAGGAATTTTTTATCCTTCTTATTCAACTCCATATTGGTCTGGTTGGGTTGCTGAAATTAATCAATTTTATGATTATAATGAATTAACAATCAATAACTTCTGGTATATACAGATGTACATTGATGTTATAAGTGAATAACGGCATGAGATATATTGGACTAATTTACAAGGTAATAAGACCTAGTATTTACATGTGTGTTGCGTACACTCTAATTGAAGCTAACCAACAACGGTGTTTGTATTTATCAATAAAGATGTTTGGCGACTAGACTGGTACAGGTTTATACAGACATGTTGTTATTACTTTCCTACCAATGAAACCAGACGGCTCATTCCCCAACACCAACTCTGCCAACTTGAAAGGAGGGTGTTTATAAAGGGAATCCTTTGATGTTAAAGTTATAGTCTGTTTCAACTAAGAATGTCAACTTGTCCTTGTAAATAGGATACGTACATATCAATAAGGAAATAGGTAAAGTTTTTTTTTGTTTTACATATATAAATGTAACACATTTTTGTAGTATATGAAGTATTACAAAATAGTTATTAAAGTATTTAAAATTGTTATTTATTATTTTAATGATTATCATATAAGATTATATTTAATTGATAAATAAAATTTAGTAAGTCACAATGATACACTGATGTCTGTTATTAAATTGTATTTGTATTACATACTTGGTATATATAATGTTGAAACATTATCCACATTTTAGCATTAAATAAATTATTATCTAATATAAATAGTAAACTCCTAAATGAAGCTGAATTAGCACTATGTATGACAATACATTATCCAGTTATCTAGATATTATGTCCTTTTACAACCTGTAATAATCAAGTAATCCATAAGTCCAGAAAACACAATACACTCTATCCAAGATGCAGAAGCTCGGATGCTGAATCGGCATAGGTCATCAGGTCGATTGTCCCAGTCTGGAAACGGTCCTTCAAGGTGGCCAGGCGTCTGTCAATGTTGGCGTATTTCTTCTTCCGGGGTTGAATGGTGCCTCCTTCGTCTCTCTGAATCCGGCTGATGTCGTTCATGTTCTGTATGTCCTTAAACGTCTGGATGATGGTGTAGATGTTGGGGTGGGCATGCAGTACCTTCTTCAGTTTTCCGTGCCAAGCTTCCAGATGGTTGGTAGTCCGGGGTCCCTCGGTTGAGAAGTGGTTCCAGGTGGTACGATCTCCCTCTATCCATTGTGTGCAGCTACCTCAAAATCGACGAAGGCTGTAGTGGGTCGGAATGGAATGTCGAAGTGTGCCATGTGATCCTGGAGAAGGGTGAAGAAACGGCTGTAGATTGCCTGGCTCTTTCCGGGAAGTAATGCGTATACGACTGGTGTCATGATGCCTTCATTCTGTACATGGACGCTGTAAAACATTGTTGGACAGTTGTAGAAAGTTCCGTCACAGAAGAAGGTGTCAGATGCTGCAAGTTCGGCCAGGTTCTCCGACGAAGCGAATGCGATCATCCTGTTGTTCTGTTCACCGTTGTCAAAGAGGAGAAATGGTTCGCCTGTAGATGCTTCTGTCCATCTTCCATCCAAGGTGATGTCGGCCAAAGTCTTTGGTAGTGGAGGAGTCTGCTTGCGGCGAGCACGGTAAAGAGACAATTTCGCTGTGTAGAATGTTGGTAGTCGCTGGACCACGGCCTTCGAAGTGTCATCCCAGTCGTTGTCTCGGAGTTGATTGAGCTCTTCCTCAAAGATGGACGGAATAGGCTGGACCGATTATACGCATTTGTTGGTGATCTGGTTCATGATCTGTTTGGCTACAACACTGGCTGGGCCTGAGGCGTGGGTGTGTGGATTTCTTCCGAAGTTAGCTGGTATGTTGTCGATTGTCGAGAGTGATGCTGAGCAGCCTGAGGTCGAACATCTCCAGAATGTCCTGCTGCCGTTCTTTCGAATCTGTCTGAAGATGAATCCATTATGTGAAAGGTTCTGTCCGCCTCTTCTGTTGGTGATGAACTTAACGTTGATCTTAGCATTAGCCATACTGTTTTGTATCAAACAACAAAGATAATAATATCACTCAAATTAAACACAATTTACATAAAAACTGAGAGAAAATACAAGATTAACTAATATATATATGACAAAAGTTATGATTTGACAATATATATCTGTGACAAAAGTACAGTAATAAATCAAGCAATGATTGAAATATTGATCTGTCAAAGTGCAGATTGAAATATGATAATTTCCCAAAATGAACTTGGCTTTTACACATTTCCCATAGAATAGCCTGGGATTTAAACAGATTTAACACAGATATTTGATTCCTTTATTTTACAGTTATTAACAGTTTTCAGTTTTCTGAACAGTTATCAGAATCAGAACTTAATCATCTGATTTACCTGTTTTCTGAACAGTTATCAGAATTTACCTGTGCAAGTTACCTGTACTACAATTCTAAAACAGCTTATAATCCACTATCATCACAGTTGACCTCCTATGTAAACATGTTGTCATATACAGAGTTGGTGTTCGGGGAAGACCCCAACCAGACTATAGTTTTCCTATCCATTGTGTTGCCAGCACTCTAGTGCTTTCATTCTTTGATGGATTCTCATCAGCCTTCACACAATCAATAACATGAAATTATCATACACTAGTTTGAGTTTCAGGGTTTTGGGTTAAGTTCAAGGTTAAAGGTCACTGTTACTTTTTTATAGAAAATTTATAAAACATTACAGTGTATTAGTTTGTGGAGCTGGTAGGGCACATGTATTATTTCAGCTATACCTTATGCTTGTTATCATTGTATAGAAATACTCAGTATTTCCTTTCATCACAAAATTTTATACAGAATTGCTGTGGTCTTATACTAACAATGGTATGTATGACATTTGTGATGACATACTTCTGTATGACGTCACACTCTGTAAGTGATCTATATACTAACCCTGACCTAACCCTAATTAGGCCGACGGGACTTATGTTGACAACATAAGCGGCCATTTAAAATAAGTGAAATAAAGTCTTTTTTTCCCCCCAAAATGGTTAGATTTTTTTTTTATTAAACCAGAGGGTTAGACAAGATCTTCAAATGATAAAAATTACAATTAAAAAATTCCACTAGAAAGGTGTATGGTTAGAGGTTGAAAACATTTATGTTGCATTAGGTAAAGGGCAATATGGTTAGCATTCGCAATTTATTTTTTTCTGCTTTTATTAAAAAATATAGAGGGTTAGGCTCACCCTCGGGGTTGAATTCTAACCCTCTGCTAACTCTAGGGTTTGAAAATTTTGGCAAAATTCAGAGGAAAAAAATTGAGTCAACCTATAATATGCAGTAGTCACCATGCTAACTCTGAAATCAAGCACGGGGTAGCGTTTTTACTATTTATTCCATAACTTTCGCAACAATGGGGCGTTTAGGCTGAAACTTCACAGAGAGTTGCCCTGACATCTATATTAATATTTCTGAAATATCAATGCTCTCCCTTTTCAGAATTTTGAGAAATCGAAAAAGTCTATATTGCGATTTTATGTTGCAAAATCCACCAAAATTTACCCCTTCAGAAGAATCTTTTTTCTGAAAATTGGTTTAGGTTAGGAAAATAGTTTTCTGTGGCCTGAAAGCCACATATCCAAGGTTTCTGGCAGAAGTTAAACAATTCCAAAATCTTCTTTTTTGACCATAACATCGAGGTATCATTTTTTCCCCTGTTTTTTCCCCTGTCTGCAACATAACTTTCATGAGTAGATCATAAAAACATAATTAACAGACCAATTTTTTTTCTAGTTTTTAATTCAAATAATATTTTTTGAACAATGTCCTAGCACACAAAAAAGAGCTGTATTTTTACAAGAAAATGGTCAAAAACATGTTTGAAATGGTAAAAGAAAATCCCAAATAACGAACATTTCGGTTTTTCACTTTTTTCTCCAAAAAATACTCCAAACTGAGCCTAGAGATTACTTGAATCGCTTTCCTTATAAGATTTCCTAAATTTTGACACCTAGTAGACTTCTGCACTCGCATATTTTTTTAAAAATAGCCCCAGTCAAAGTTAAAGAATCACTAAAAAATGCCTTTTTTATTTCTGGAGATAGAGACACGGAAAAACTTCCATGTAATTCTTTTTGATGTATTTTCATGTTATAAAGGCACTTTTTTCCAGAAAAATATTTTTTTGAACACTTCTGTACATTTTAAAACATGTAAAGTTGCAAGAGTCCATTTCTGTGATTAGATTTCAAACGATATTTCCCAGATAACCTATTAATTTTAATTCATTTTCTGGAAGCCCTTTCAGTGCCCTTTCGAAGGATATTAACGGTTGAGCTCCAACTGTTCTACTTAAAGACAAAACAATATGTTACTTTTCTGATATTTGACTTACAACTTCACTGTTTTCAGTATGCAACATAACCACATGCAACATAACTAATCCTGTGATTAATTATGTTGCTATTGGTCTAACCAACTGCAACAAAATAGCTCCGCAAACGCGGTATGAACATGATTATCAAAGCAGGAGAAAGAGAGACAAGAGGTCCAAAGACATCCAGACACATTAGGCAACCACCGGACAGATTCTTTATGGATGTTCTGACGATCACTATAGACACTGGTATTCAGGCAAGATGGATACTCTTAGCCCTGGAGGACACCATATCTTGGGCGAGAATGACCTTCAAACCCAGAAAGTCAAGATCAATGGTCATAAAGAAGGGCAGAGTAACGCAGCAGTTCCAACTACAGGGGGAGGAAATACCATCCATCATAGGAAACCCCACAAATGTCTGGGGAAGTGGTTGGATGAATCATTAGGAGATAAGGCCAACATCCAAAGGATAGAACAGCAGGTCAGAGAAGGAATATAGACAAGACAGGTCTCCCAGGGAAACTTAAAGCTTAGATTATCAGCATGGCCTCCATCCACGCTTAGCTTGGCCCTAGATGCTTTATGAGATTACAACTTCAAAAGTGGAGAAAATGGAATGTATTATCAACAGACACCTCCTGAAGTGGTTGGGAGTTCCTCCAAGCTTTACTGCATTAGGCCTATACAGCAAGACAGCAAAACTCCAACTCCCCATCTGTTCACTCATGGAAGAATTCACGACAGGCAAGGCAAGACTCATCATGACCTTGAAGGACTCCAGAGATGATAAGGTGTGATTAGCCGGCATGAAAGTACGAACTGGCAGGAAATGGTAGCATCAAGAGCAGTTGACGAGGCTGAAAGTAGACTGATACACAAAGACATTGTTGGAACAACAGCAGTAGGAAGACAAAGTTTAGGAACAACTGAGATCACCTTCTGGAAAAAGGATGATGCAGAAGAAAGGAGTAGGAAGGTCCAGAAGGAAATTAGAAATGGTGAGGAAGAACAAAGGCAGGCCAAAGCAGTTGCATTGGGAGCCAAAGGAGTGTGGACAAGATGGGATGCAGAACTGCGCGCACTTTCCTGTTCAGAAATCTGGAAGTACCCGCAATTCCAACTCCAATTCCTCCTCCGGACTGTGTATGATGTGCTATCAACACCAGCAGATCTCCACTGATGGGACCTTGCAGGAACACATGATTGCCCCCTGTGTGGACAGAGAGGAACATAACACCATATTTTTACCTCTTGTAAGGTGGCCTTAGAAGAGGGAAGATATACATAGCGCCACAACCAAGTCTTAAGGGAGCTGGCAGATATTATGGAAAGGGAAAGAAAGAATAAGGCCAGCCAACCAAGGTCCAAACATACACAGATAAGGTTTGTGAAGGAAGGTGAGACACCAACATCCACATCACCGCAGAGAACTTCTGGAATTCTTTTTCAGGCAGGAGACTGGAAGCTGGCAGTAGACTTTAATCAGAGACTAACTTTTCTGGACATTGTACCAACCAACCTTTGGCCAGATATGGTTCTTTGGTTGTCAACGACAAGAATGGTCATCATCATAGAGCTGACAGTTCCATGGGAGGAAAGGTGCAGTGAAGCACACGAACGGAAGAAAGGAAAGTAGGAAGCATTGCTGATGGAGTGCAGGGAGAAAGGGTGGCAGACTTGGAGCTTCATGGTTAAGGTGGGATGCAGGGGCTTCCCGCACCATCTGTGTGGAAAATGCTATCTGCATTGGGAGTGTTAGGCAGGACCAAGAGATCAGCGGTGCAGATGATGGCCAAGGCAACAGAGAGATCTTCATGCTGGGTGTGGATGAAGAAAGACTCGAGTAGCTGGACACCCACCACCAATGTGCAGTGACTGATCATCATTGTGTACCCCCATCCTGAGAGTGTACTGAGCTAAGGGTTGAAACGCACAATGAGGGATGGCCTCGATTGAGGACGTCAGTGGTGAAGCAGTAGAAACATCTTAGCTGTATTAAAGCAAATGTACAATGTTGTCGGTGGCAACATACTTCTGTATGACGTCACACTCTGTAAGTAATCTTCATACTTACCATTATATGTACAACGTTGTCGGTGACAACATACTTCTGAATTACTTCAGCTGTTGGTTTATGAGCACAGTCCTGACTCACTATGATGGGAAATTGTTCCTTCGTAGTACGAAGCCTGGAGATGATGAAAAAGAAAAATGTAACTTACTGGAATCTTCTAGATTTCTTGTAGTACACATATGTCGTTATCTTTTACCAAATTAAGCAAATCTGTTAACAGCTAGAAGTCCTACTTAATTGACTTTCCACAGCCCACAATCATACAACTAATATATATCATGACTTTGAATACTGCATACTTGTTTAATCTCAAGACACTGATATTTTACAATATTTGTCTCAGATGTAAAATTAAATTTCACACCACTCTGTCTTTGGTAATTCATTTTAGTATACAAGTAAACAGACATTAAGATTTTCTGGGGTTTTAATTCACTGTTTAATAATTGCTGGGTTTCAAGCTGTCTTAAGTTTATATCCTCAAGAATACTATCAAATCAATTTGATCACATTAAAGGGAGACAATTTCATTAAAGGGAGACAATTTCAATTTGTTTACATTATTTGTAATATTCCTACCTGATAGACAGGGCAGAAGTTATCAATACACATATGACTTCAGTTAGTTTCACTATATGGTAACTATATCGGAGTAAACACTCACCTGATGAGTTGGTTCAGACTTCTGTTTACGGTGACTCGGTCACAAGCAATCAACAATACAGGGAGCACCACTTTGCTGAGATCATGGACGTCTCCTTTTCTGTCCGGCAGAACTATTGGAGAATGTGTTTTTGGCTTGTTTCCTAAGATATACAACCAGCAGTTATCAATATCAACACTCCTGTAACCTCCACATACCTATATGTATACATTACCCTCAGTCTGTGACTAAAGAGCTCTACTAACTGCTTAGATAAGGTCAAAACAAAATTTCTGTTTCCTGTTTCTGCCAGAAAAAAGAAAACGTTAGTAGCTATGGATTTTTTTTGGGGGAAAATAATATTTCGTTGCTTTTGACAGTAAATTGAACAACGAAAGTTCCTCGGAACTGTATGTATCGCCTGCATAAAGTGTCACGGTCACCTAGAAATAGAACTGGATGTGCAACGATCAACCATAAAGTTGTAATACCAAATTTCGTTTCTATAACTTGAAGCATAACCACAGAAAGTCAAGAAAACAATATTCCCAGAGAATTTTCTAAGTTCAAAGGGGCATAACTCAGCCAAAAAGCGTCACAGACAGCCGGGAATTATACTTAATCTGTACCCTTGCAACAAGAAGCCATTAATAAATTTCATTTCGATAACTCAAAGCATAAGCCAAAAAAAGTCCAGAAAACAATATTCCCAGGAAATTTTCTAAGTTGAAAGGGGCTTAACTCTGCCAAGAAGGGTCACAGACAGATGGGAATCAAACTTAATCTGTACCCTTGCAACAAAAAGCCATATACCAAATTTCATTTTGATAACTCAAAGCATAAGCCCAAAAAGTTAGGAAACCAATATTCACTGGAAATTTTCTAAGTTGAAAGGGGGCATAACTCTGCCAAAAAATGTCACAGACAGCCGGGAATCAAACTTAATCTGTACCTTTGCAACAAAAAAGCCAAATGCAAAATTTCATTTTGATAACTCAAAGCATTACCAAAAAAAGTCCGGAAAGCTTTTCTACGGACGATGCCGCCAACGACAACGATGCGTGACGACGGACAAAGTGATCCCTAAGTGTGTGCTAGCTCTGCAGGCGACACAAAAAGAAAATGAAAAAAAACTGAAATAGAAGTTTGGTCAATAAATATCAAAGAAATGCAGAGTTATCACATCCAGAAGAGATGTATATTTGTCAGAAGCTCATGATTTCACTTTTGGTTTATGTGAAAATTCACAATATCTTTAGGCATTTGTGTGCATTTTATAGAGTTCATCCCAACACTGATGATGTCATATAGTCACAGTTATCTCCCCTGTACTGAGAGATCAGTCTATATATATCACTAGTGTCTGAGGTAAGTTTACCTCCGGGTGCTTGGACTGCTGAGGATCCCCAGCCAACAAAACATTATCAAATCAACATGGAAATTTTAGATTAATCTCTTGGTAAAAATGTTGAAAAAAGAAAGGTTGGTAATACAAAAACAGGATGGCTGGGAACGGGAAACACACAACTTATTATCATCACTTTTATTTTTTGGTCACCTGAACAAAATATCCTCTGCTTAAATTATGATTTCACAAACCATTAACTCTGTATGACCTCTAATCTTTGTGAACTTAATACAAATCTATTTCATTACCTACATCCAATCCTGTTTATGATAAGACACACTGGCCATTCCTTATCTGAAAACTATTTCATGGATGACCCCTGAATGACCTCTTTAAGAAATCTTACCCTTTGTAACTCTGTCACATACTGGTCAATTAATTTTCTGAACTCTAACCTGTGCATGACATCTGAATAACCTCTGTATGACCTTTAACCCCTTTTAACCCTGATGAAACTTACCTGTTTCATTACGCAGACTTTGCAGCTTGGACAGTAGTGCTAGGTTCTGTTTTAGCTGGTTCTGTATACCAGTATCTAAGATGTCAAGTTCCATGCTAGGCGGGATCACCTGAATAGGACACATGAAATAAATGGAAATACATTTATTTGAAATAACCTTCCTAAAACATGTATATTGTATCATACAATGTGTGACTTCAACATAAGTAACCAAATGTGAGAGATCTACTCTATTCATGTAGTCACAAACTCATCCATGTCTGTATGTGTTCATTAAAATCTTAAACTCATAATTTGAATCAAAGTTGCCCCTTGGTCCTCTTAAAAGAATATATACATTTATGTACATAGAAGAAATGTATTAAAAAGCCACGAGGAGCGGGAAAATATAGAAATGAAAAATAAAATCAACAAATTTCGTCTAATTTTAGTTTTTATTTCTATATATATGTGTAATAGGAAGGAGTAATGGAAAACACCTCAACCCTGACGGGGTTCGAACTCGTGACCCTTAGGTCTCTTACTGGACACTTCTGTCTGACTAAAGGGAAAATACTACTTCTACACACAAACAGTAACACAGAGATTTTACATAATATGCATATTAGCTTAAAGAATGTGATATTAAAAGAAAGTAAATCAAAACATATGATATTAACAGTAATTAACCTACTGATTTATGGTATGTGAATTCTATCTTGAAAGAAAGTAACTGAATATTATGTACTAAATGATCATTATTACTATTATTAATAGTTTTAACTCTGGGAAATACTAGCTGCAATATATCAGTAGACTAGAGCACTCTTCTCTTCAGCTCAATCAGTTGAGCACAGAACTATTAAGCCAGAGGTACCAGGTTCAAAACCTGGCAGAAGCTCTAAACCAAAAAAATGACCATTGTCACGTCGTCAAATTTCCATATATCAAAATCTGATACTTCTAAAGACTACGCTTACTGTAAAGGTTTTCTTCAATCCCTGTCAAATCTTCTATCTTTATTTCAATATGATTTTCCCATGTATGTTTGACTGTGTATTGTTTGTCTGTGTATTGTTTGACTGTGTATTGTTTGTCTGTAAGTATGTCTGAATGTGTATTGTTTGTCTGTGTATTGTTTGTCTGTAAGTATGTTTGACTGTGTATTGTTTGTCTGTATGTTTGACTGTGTATTGTTTGTCTGTGTATTGTTTGTCTGTGTATTGTTTGTCTGTGTATTGTTTGTCTGTAAGCATGTCTGACTGTGTATTGTTTGTCTGTATGTTTGACTGTGTATTGTTTGTCTGTGTATTGTTTGTCTGTAAGTATGTTTGACTGTGTATTGTTTGTCTGTGTATTGTTTGTCTGTGTATTGTTTGTCTGTAAGTATGTTTGACTGTGTATTGTTTGTCTGTGTATTGTTTGTCTGTAAGTATGTTTGACTGTGTATTGTTTGTCTGTAAGTATGTTTGTCTGTGTATTGTTTGTCTGTGTATTGTTTGTCTGTAAGCATGTTTGACTGTGTATTGTTTGTCTGTATGTTTGACTGTGTATTGTTTGTCTGTGTATTGTTTGTAAGTATGTTTGACTGTGTATTGTTTGTCTGTAAGTATGTTTGACTGTGTATTGTTTGTCTGTGTATTGTTTGTCTGTGTATTGTTTGTCTGTGTATTGTTTGTCTGTGTATTGTTTGTCTGTGTATAGTTTGTCTGTGTATTGTTTGTCTGTGTATTGTTTGTCTGTGTATTGTTTGTCTGTAAGTATGTTTGACTGTGTATTGTTTGCCTGTGTATTGTTTGTCTGTAAGCATGTCTGACTGTGTATTGTTTGTCTGTAAGTATGTTTGTCTGTGTATTGTTTGTCTGTAAGTATGTTTGACTGTGTATTGTTTGTCTGTGTATTGTTTGTCTGTAAGTATGTTTGACTGTGTATTGTTTGTCTGTGTATTGTATCTGTGTATTGTTTGTGTAAGTATGTTTGTCTGTAAGTATGTTTGACTGTGTATTGTTTGTCTGTAATTATTGTTTGACTGTGTATTGTTTGTTTGTCTGTATGTTTTAATGTGTATTGTTTGACTGTGTATTGTTTGACTGTGTATTGTTTGAGTGTGTATTGTTTGTCTGTGTATTGTTTGACTGTGTATTGTTTGTCTGTGTATTGTTTGTCTTGTATTGTTTGTTTCTGTGTATTGTTTGTCTGCATGTTTGACTGTGACTGTGTATTGTTTGTCTGTGTATTGTTTGTCTGTAAGTATGTTTGACTGTGTATTGTTTGTCTGTGTATTGTTTGTCTGTAAGTATGTTTGTCTGTGTATTGTTTGACTGTGTATTGTTTGTCTGTGTATTGTTTGTCTGTGTATTGTTTGTCTGTGTATTGTTTGTCTGTGTATTGTTTGTCTGTAAGCATGTCTGACTGTGTATTGTTTGTCTGTAAGTATGTTTGTCTGTGTATTGTTTGACTGTGTATTGTTTGACTGTGTATTGTTTGACTGTGTATTGTTTGTCTGTGTATTGTTTGACTGTGTATTGTTTGTCTGTGTATTGTTTGTCTGTGTATTGTTTGTCTGTGTATTGTTTGTCTGTAAGTATGTTTGACTGTGTATTGTTTGTCTGTGTATTGTTTGTCTGTAAGTATGTTTGACTGTGTATTGTTTGTCTGTGTATTGTTTGTCTGTGTATTGTTTGTCTGTAAGTATGTTTGACTGTGTATTGTTTGTCTGTAAGCATGTCTGACTGTGTATTGTTTGTCTGTAAGCATGTCTGACTGTGTATTGTTTGTCTGTATGTTTGACTGTGTATTGTTTGTCTGTGTATTGTTTGTCTGTGTATTGTTTGTCTGTGTATTGTTTGTCTAAGCATGTCTGACTGTGTATTGTTTGTCTGTGTATTGTCTGTGTATTGTTTGTCTGTGTATTGTTTGTCTAAGCATGTCTGACTGTGTATTGTTTGTCTGTGTATTGTGTGTCTGTAAGTATGTTTGACTGTGTATTGTTTGTCTGTGTATTGTTTGTCTGTGTATTGTTTGTAAGTATGTTTGACTGTGTATTGTTTGACTGTGTATTGTTTGTCTGTAAGTATGTTTGACTGTGTATTGTTTGTCTGTATGTTTGACTGTGTATTGTTTGTCTGTGTATTGTTTGTCTGTGTATTGTTTGTCTGTGTATTGTTTGACTGTGTATTGTTTGTCTGGAAGCATGTTTGACTGTGTATTGTTTGTCTGTGTATTGTTTGTCTGTAAGCATGTTTGACTGTGTATTGTTTGTCTGTTTATAGTTTGTCTGTGTATTGTTTGTCTGTGTATTGTTTGTCTGTGTATTGTTTGTCTGTAATTATGTTTGACTGTGTATTGTTTGACTGTGTATTGTTTGTCTGTGTATTGTTTGTCTGTGTATTGTTTGACTGTGTATTGTTTGACTGTGTATTGTTTGTCTGTAAGTATGTTTGACTGTGTATTGTTTGTCTGTGTATTGTTTGACTGTGTATTGTTTGTCTGTGTATTGTTTGTCTGTGTATTGTTTGTCTGTGTATTGTTTGTCTGTAAGTATGTTTGTCTGTGTATTGTTTGTCTGTATGTTTGACTGTGTATTGTTTGTCTGGGTATTGTTTGTCTGTGTATTGTTTGTCTGTAAGTATGTTTGACTGTGTATTGTTTGTCTGTGTATTGTTTGTCTGTAAGTATGTTTGACTGTGTATTGTTTGTCTGTGTATTGTTTGTCTGTATGTTTGTCTGTGTATTGTTTGTCTGTAAGTATGTTTGACTGTGTATTGTTTGTCTGTGTATTGTTTGTCTGTAAGTATGTTTGTCTGTGTATTGTTTGACTGTGTATTGTTTGACTGTGTATTGTTTGCCTGTGTATTGTTTGTCTGTAAGTATGTTTGACTGTGTATTGTTTGTTTGACTTGTTTGTCTGTATTGTATTGTATTGTTTGTCTGTAAGTATGTTTGACTGTGTATTGTTTGTCTGTGTATTGTTTGTCTGTATGTTTGACTGTGTATTGTTTGTCTGTGTATTGTTTGTCTGTAATTATGTTTGACTGTGTATTGTTTGTCTGTGTATTGTTTGTCTGTAAGTATGTTTGACTGTGTATTGTTTGTCTGTGTATTGTTTGTCTGTAAGTATGTTTGACTGTGTATTGTTTGACTGTGTATTGTTTGACTGTGTATTGTTTGTCTGTGTATTGTTTGTCTGTAAGTATGTTTGACTGTGTATTGTTTGTCTGTGTATTGTTTGTCTGTAAGTATGTTTGACTGTGTATTGTTTGTCTGTGTATTGTTTGTCTGTAAGTATGTTTGACTGTGTATTGTTTGTCTGTGTATTGTTTGTCTGTATGTTTGACTGTGTATTGTTTGTCTGTGTATTGTTTGTCTGTGTATTGTTTGTCTGTGTATTGTTTGTCTGTAAGTATGTTTGACTGTGTATTGTTTGTCTGTAAGTATGGTTGTCTGTGTATTGTTTGTCTGTGTATTGTTTGTCTGTGTATTGTTTGTCTGTAAGTATGTTTGACTGTGTATTGTTTGTCTGTAAGTATGTTTGACTGTGTATTGTTTGTCTGTGTATTGTTTGTCTGTAAGTATGTTTGTCTGTGTATTGTTTGTCTGTAAGCATGTCTGACTGTGTATTGTTTGTCTGTAAGTATGTTTGTCTGTGTATTGTTTGTCTGTAAGCATGTCTGACTGTGTATTGTTTGTCTGTAAGCATGTTTGACTGTGTATTGTTTGTCTGTTTATAGTTTGTCTGTGTATTGTTTGTCTGTGTATTGTTTGTCTGTGTATTGTTTGTCTGTGTATTGTTTGACTGTGTATTGTTTGACTGTGTATTGTTTGTCTGTGTATTGTTTGTCTGTGTATTGTTTGTCTGTAAGTATGTTTGACTGTGTATTGTTTGTCTGTGTATTGTTTGTCTGTAAGTATGTTTGTCTGTGTATTGTTTGCCTGTGTATTGTTTGTCTGTAAGCATGTCTGACTGTGTATTGTTTGTCTGTAAGTATGTTTGTCTGTGTATTGTTTGTCTGTAAGCATGCTTGACTGTGTATTGTTTGTCTGTAAGTATGTTTGACTGTGTATCGTTTGTCTGTGTATTGTTTGTCTGTAAGTATGTTTGACTGTATTGTTTGTCTGTAAGCATGTTTGACTGTATTGTTTGTCTGTATGTTTGACTGTGTATGGTTTGTCTGTAAGTATGTTTGTCTGTGTAAGTGTTGGGCTTATAACAGGTCATAGAAATAGTACAGATGTACTTGTTAGTTATTCTTCTACACAGTCACAGTATCTGTAACATCAGAAATTGGATCTTATTGAAGGATAACTGGGAAAACCTACCTTGCCTGGGTGCCTTAACATCAGAATGAGGTATATGATGACATTCCAGCACAGGAAAACTGCCACCACTGCACTCACTACATGTCTGCGTCTCATCCTGATTGGCACCTTACAGCATCACATCATGATCCAAGAAATTTTAACTTATAATTTTTGATATTTGTGAACTTAAAACACTTTTATTAAAAGCAAATTGAATCCTTCCTTTGATGAAAATCTCTGCCATCTGTAATTCAAGAAAAGAAAACATTTACCATGGGGCCCTATTATTGTTCCAAATGGAGGGCATAACATTGTCACTTCCCATCCATCCTTATGTTTATGCTACCAACCATATTTTTCAACTTTTTGGCAACTTGGTACATGACTTAATTAATATGTCATACCTGTTGAGAAGTCAGTGTCAAACGCATGCAAACATTTGCCGTTTTACTAGGATTGGGGATGAATCCTAATTATATAACAGTGGGTAGGACATTACATTGTGACTTTCTTGAGATAGGCGGTGCTGATGATTAAAGCACTAGATTTGAACACCGATTGTCATCACATTCCCGTCCAGCTTAAACTGACAGGCACTCGTAATATTATGTCTCCTATTATCTTCCATTATCTAACACCTCGGATGAGCACATTAACACCTACATAACTGTGTAAATTTATTAAGAACCAACACAGACAAGGCCGGTGTCAGGCAAGCTAGTGTATCACAACTGAGGTGTTACCTTTACAAATTCTCCATTCATCATTAGAGTGAAACAAAGAGTTGAAGACCATCACTACTTAATGTATTGTGTATTTCTAATGGAGAGACGCACATTTACCTGTTGAATGGATTAACGCAGCTATCCCATTGCTAAATCGAATTGTGCACAACAGACGACAAACTTCCAACTGTCCATGTTGGCAAAACACAGCTAATCGCGGTCTTCTCTACGTTTTAATAAGAGGTCCCTCTGTCACATTCGCAAGCGTCCGAAAGAAAACGTGTGCATAAAAGCCCTCAAAAGCCTAATAGTAAGTTAAGAACCAACTAGAGATAGGTTAAATGACAAAATGATTCAATCAACTTCCTTCTTTTGTATAATAACAGGAAGCATTTCAGTAATTAAGTAAAATCATCTGAACATGAACAAATACAGTGCATCATTCCCAAATCTGTTGTGGTTACCATTAGGTTGATTTTACGCCAGGCAGAGACGTATATAACACACACATATATATACGATGTGATATATACGTTTCTGCGCCAGGTAACTGCTCAAATGGCAAATTTCAACCCATAATGCAGTACAGACATCTTGTTTTAATATTCGGTTATAAAAGCTGGATTGTGTTAATGTTTGGAAAAGTCATGTGACTTGAAATACAGATCACTTGACTTGGAGGTTATAATGAAACTGTCTACAGTGATAGATGTTCCACCCCAGTATATATGTTTCTCATTATTGTAATGTAACCACAGAATCCTCATTGTTACAGGTGTCAAATTCAATAACTGTAATACAACAGCTACCATTTTTTTATTTATATATACTGCTTACATAGATGTATATCTGAATTGTCTTTCTGATCAATCCCTAATATTGTCCTAATAGCATCATAGTGTATCTTTAATTTGTAAATTACAACATTCAGAATGTGTGATGCATAAGCATGCAGACATCACAGGAAAAATGACTGCAATTTAATCTTGACGACTAACAAATCATTTGACATAATTAAATTTATGAGCATTATATATATATATTTTACATTTAACAGAGGTAATTATTTACTTCAATGCCTCAGCTAGGATTTGAACCCGGGACCTCTTGTGTACTAGCCTGATGCTCAACCGATCAAGCTAAAGAGAAGTTCTCTCTAGCCCCGTACTATATTGTGGCTTATATTTACCAGGGTTACTGTCATATTTCAAATTAATTTCTGAAGTTGTCTAATGTATATACATGTTGTAATATTTCAGTATCAACTCTACACGTATGAACTCTGGTGCCACAGTTCACCAACAATGGAAATATTCCAAAGATGAACAACAAATTATTGTCAATATGAAATTAGGGATTGAATGAATTTGTTTCAGACATTAAATACTACTAAGTTATTTGTATATTTTGTGATAAGAAGACCTCGAGTGAAGCATTAACTTACAACTAAAAAGATTAAAACAAGTTTAATGTTACTTATAAAAGACCAGAAACAAAGTAGCAACTTTGTAAATGTGCAAAGACATTAACATGTCTCTTTGTGAAAAGAAATAGTTCATATTTCTGGTTTAGTCGTATTTGAATGTTGTAAAAGTGTCAAATTCTAAGGTCTATAGAAACCAAACAAAACAAACCATTAAAATATTGAAAGTTAATTTTATTGACATTATAACAATGATCCTGTTTCCCTTACCCTTTCCTATAAAAGCAACACATGTTTACACAGACATACCTTTACAATACTGATTCTCACTGTCTAAAGTCAGCTCACCTTCTTGAGACATCAACTTCGTTGAGTGTAAAAAAGATTAAAAATAAGGAGTATTATAAAGAATATGGAAATAAAGAAAACTGAAGAACTTGTTTGATAGTACTATTTCACACAAGTAACTCTATTTCTGGGAGATCAGTTTGTGAATCATCACCTTCTTTGAAGACTTTTGCGATAAAGCACAAATGATTTCTATTGCTCACCTCTGTTGATAGATGTTTTTATAGGTCGCCATTAACACTGTTAACTGGTCACTAGTAATGTGGGAATGTAATGTTTCAATCAATTTCCTTAATCTATATAAAGTTAATGTTACAAGAAAACAGGATATGATTCAATGCAGGATATTTCTAATTGAAAATCAGTTTTACAACCTACTGGAGATCTATCACTGCATGGTATCCAGGCCAAAGGTCATGGATGGTAGATAACAGATATAAAATTTATTTGGAAACAGAAGATCCCAGAGGGAGCTTTTTATCCATCATTGTATAAAGTTTATCAGCTATTTAGACCTTTTCTTTCAGCAAGGACAGTGTTTCACAAGTAAAGGACTAACAAATTCTAATTGTCAAACTCCATGATGGCTGTCCATCAATCATTTTCTAATTAGTCTCAATGTGAATAACTTACAACACAGGACAAAGGAGAAATTATATATGCAATATGTGAATGACAAATCCAGAGCTTCTCAGAAAAAAAAATAATCTACAACTGATTAATCAAACATTTGTTGGCCTTTCTGATTTTGTGATTATTCTAATCTGTACACTGCACCATTAAGGACTAGTGGGAAACTACATTTGAAAATTGAGAAAGATCCATCAAATATTTCTCATGGAGGAAAAATAGCCACTCGGTCTCAAACTGCAATAAAAAGAATTAAGTTCAGATGGATAACAACCATCAACAAAGGACAATTTGAATATCTGATGATAAAAGGCTACAAACAGATTTCTCATCTTAATATGCAACTTTTAGAAATAAATTAAAAATAAATTCAAGTGAGAAAACCGTGCTAAGGAAAACATCACTTATGAAGAGTACTCTCTGTCACAAATCAAGTCTCAGGCATAAAGAGCAAGGAGCATGTAAGTACTTCACACTAATGCTGAATGAATGGTCCTCGTAAATTCATTGTGACGAGATTTCTTGGCATGGAACTCTTTTAGATAGAGACAATTTGAGCAAGAAGACATATACCCTTAAGGCAATTCTATTTTTCTAAAATTAAATGATGAATGCTTTTCCCCTACTCCAATTAAATGTATAAGATGTATATACAATATGTATCTATGAAGAAAGAGTGATTCTTATTGAAAAGCTTATTAAGGGTAATATGGCATCTCACTCAGGAAAGACATTACATCACCATACACAAAAGTTCCAAGAATAAAATGTACATTATCTGATTTTTCATAATTTTGAAATATTAATCAATGATAAAAATGGCAATGTACATAGGATAACATGTATTTATTTATAATTATAAAAATAATTTCAATTGAAGGGAGATAACTCTCTTCACACAAATCACAGTAATTACTAACAAATTTAACACATAAACCCAGGTTCTCTTAATACAGATGATACATACCCTTCTCCCTGACCATCGTCAGTACAAAACTATGTCAGTTATACATGCTCCAATAATTTTTTATACTTATTATGAATACATACCATTGCATTGTAGCGTAAGGTGTTACACCATTTATGCATAAAACACATTTATGAAGTGCTGAATAGAAATAGACTTTCATACATGTTTCCTATCTTCTTCTCTCAGTGCATGCTCTATACATACATTTTATACACAAAATTCATACATGCCTTAAAACCATTCATCCATGACCTAGATATGATTCTACCATTTATCCCTTAATGTGAATATCATCCCGTTCTTGATTTATGTAATCAGTCATGCCTGACAAACAGGATCAGATTTATTCATGTACATGTACCATGGACTAGTACCATCATTGACATATTACTAAACTACAACAGCACTTTGTATTGATGATACGATTGGTGGTCATCAATTGTGTATTGTTTATTATAAGGTCAATAGTATAAAACAATACATTTGTTAAATCGTATTCTTGGCATAGATAATTAATCAACCATACACCATACAACAAATCAATCATTCCATTCACTTTTATGAATTTCATTCATTCATTCATTCATTCATTTACTCTTTCAAATAAACATCACGATTCTGAATAAACACACATGTAGTACAGCAATATTCTTACCACATGATTTATAATACGCCAAAAAATGAAATAAATATCAAGTATACATAAATAGACTATACCGAAACAGTTATAAAATACATTTCAAAATTTCAGAAAATACTAGGGTGGTCACATCAAAATCAGGAAACAAGCACAAATGAAACCAAACACAAATTTGTTGAAATTACTTAAAAACAAATACACACATATACTAGGAAACCAAACACAGAATTAAACATCACTGTTATTGTTGAAATTACTTAAAAACAAATACACACATATACTAGATATTTTCAGGAGAACAAAGAGAGGGAAAATACTTTTGAACACAAGTAGAAATGATGTTGGTCTTCTAATAGTTAATAAGAAATCAATTTTAACACTTAGATGGTAAATAAATGTAATGTTCGTGTCACATATTGAAAAAATGAAGTATAAATAATGACAATCAGTATGTACAATATAGATCCTTTTGTTATGTTTTAATCAAGACAACTATCACTAGATGTTTTACCAACTCCTCTCTTTTGTTTAATTTCATTTTGCGAAATATTTCTGAGTTTTTTAAAAAAAAAAAAATGTTTGATATCAAAATTTACAAGAAAAAAAGGAAAAGAATTGATGTGTTCTGTCAGGAAAAAATAATATCTAACTCTTGAAGCTTTGGATTTCATTTTTTGTAAATAAAGGAATACCGATTTGTTAAGTGGAATGATGACTATGCTATAATACACAAGGAATATATAGGAGAAACAACTCTAGCTACTTCTGGCCCTGGGTATGTATAAATTAAAAGGAAGGGTGATATATGGCAGGGGTGAAATAAATGGCTGGAGAGAAATCTACGGCTACTTCTGGCCCTGGGTATGTATAAATTAAAAGGAAGGGTGATATATGGCAGGGGTGAAATAAATGGCTGGAGAGAAATCTACGGCTACTTCTGGCCCTGGGTATGTATATATTAAAAGGAAGGGTGATATATGGCAGGGGTGAGATAAATGGCTGGAGATAAATGTACGGCTACTTCTGGCCCTGTGTATGTATATATTAAAATGAAGGTTGAGATATATGGCAGGGGATGTCTGGCTCTGTGTATGTATATATCAAAAGGAAGGTGTGTGTAGATGGCAAAGGTGAGTTAATGGCAGAGGTTAAATCTACAGCTCCATTTGGCCCTGTGTATGTATATTTTAAAAGGAAAGTATAGATATATGGCAGGGGAAAAATCTATGGCTCCTTCTGGCACTGTGTATGTATATATTGAAAGGAAGGTAGATGGCAGGGTTAAGATATATGGCGGGGGTTAAATCTACAGCTCCTTCTAGCCCTGTATTGGCATATATCAATAGCAAGGTCTAAATATATGGTTGTAGTGAAACTTCAATGTACTACAGATCACCCTAATAACCTGGAAGACATTTTAATTTTCTTCCTGTTTTTGTGATACATTAATTATATAAACAACAAACATTATCATCAACAATACTTAATACATTAAACTTCAAACAATAACAGTTGTGCAAAACACATATAAAAATTTTAACACATATAAAATGAGATTTCCTGCACATACCTGTCAAACTATTTTGGACTGGAGTCTCCCATTTACTTTTGTCACATTTTATGTAGACAATCTTCAGTGTGAAATTTTAGTCTTAAAATGGAGATTTTTAGAAAATAAGAATCTATTGTTTTTTCCTTAAATGATTTTTAACCGTTGTAATATGAATTTAAATAACATAAGTGACCATTTCCAGTTTGTGAAAGACTTTAAAATTTGAAATTTCCAGTTTTGACCCTTTGACAGGAATGCCTGCATTGCATTCTTAACAAGTATCATTGCCTTATATCATAATATACAAATTGATAGTCGGTGGTATAATCATTGCATGATAGTATACTAACTTCCATCAAGGGGAGATAATCCACTGAGTTGTCAGGGGAAGTAACCAACACTTACTTATCTACAACATTTGCCAATATTCATGCAGAGATTATTTCGCAAGGGGAGATAACTACACGATGACAACAGCTCAATTATTACCTGATGTTCTCAAGATACATATTTGGAGCTAATAATAAAAAATCCTACAATTTACAATCAAATTATTGTTAAATTTATTCATGTATGATATATCTAAATATTAAGCCATTATCTCCCCTTGATATTTTATAATGGTGGAATATTTTCTGGTGGAAGAATGATCTCCCCTTGATACTAAGATCTGACCACAACAAAATGTAGTAACTCCTGATTGATCGCCATTTTAAAAGCCATCATCATCAAAACTAAACAAATTTCAACTTTCACTGTAAGTAATTTCTTATGATATTGAACAATGATGAAGTATAGATTTTGGGGAATAGATTATCTCCCCTGATATCTAATTACATAACAATAGTAGTCATTCAAGATTGATCTCCGTTGTCAAGGCATCATCTAACTAAACAAATTATTTACTTTAACTTGCCCTGGCCAAAGTAGCAAATCATTTTAGTTTCTAGTTCTTTTGATAAACAACAATAGAATTGTGGTCTTATTAGCAGGTAATGACTTATTGTCTACAGTATCAAATGTGAAATGGTTCCCTTTGTGGAAGTCATTTATAATTAGTATTAGTGATGTAAATTTGATTTCCCCAGTAAAATCTTTTATCTTTGACAGAAATATTGACAATAATTTTGTTTCTGATGTCAAGTCAAGTCCATTATCATTGTAAATAACACTGGCATCCAAAGTTTTTTTCATTGTGATAGCAATATCCCTTGACAAAAATACTGTCATTTATCTTATGTCTGATCAAATCCATGACCATTGTCAATAAACTGAGTGTTATGCTTGTTTTCTTGGTCAAGTCACCTACTAAAGGTTAGACTTAAAAATGTTGCCCTTGTTGATAATGATGAAGTGTTATATACTCCCTGACAGCTTGATCACTAAAACAATGCTGACTGTTTGTCACACTGTCAGGAGGACCTGTATATATCTCTATACACAGAGAAGTGATGACTCAAACAGGTCTTGATTTCCATCCTTCTCAGATCTAACAAGGACAGTTAATATGATCCCAAACCACCTATATGAAAAGGTCAAGGTCACGTCCAGGTGAGGTCATACTGAGACCAGTCTGCAGTGGGAGCTAGGTATATTCTCTGTCCACTGTAAATAAAGCTGTTTACTCCACGGTAGGCCACACGAGGAACACCTGCCTGTAACATAACACATGTAAAGAGGTTATTAATAAAAACTCAATCAGAAAAATCTAATTTCTCACACTGTAAATTTACAAATTATATATCTTTAAACAAGAGGCCCAAGGGGCCTTAACCGTCACCTCAGCAATATATGTCAATAATCTGGGGATTTTAAAATGTTGCAAAAATGTAACAACACTTGTGCAGGACCGTGTGTAAAACATCTGTACCAAGATTGAACATGATCTACCCAGTGGTTCTTGAGAGGAAGTCCAAAATGTCTTAGCCAAACAGAGGCCAGGGTTGCACATTTATATAAAGCAAATCATGTTTTCATTTACAAGTTGAAATAGTTTAGTAGATACATGTATAGCTAAAGTATACAAAAAATCAGATCAATTTCAAGTCTATCCACAATCTTTTCCTTGCCTAATACAATAAGGCATCCAACTAAAAAATCTCACATAAAACAATGTGAAAAAATCTTGTGGTATTTCTGAGACAGGAATATATATGTATCAAGGCTGAGAAATGTAGTGTTACCACAGGTATTGAACCATATTATACATGTAGTTCAGAACATAGAAGGTTCAGCGAGTAATAAGATCCGGGTTTGATGAAAGATCTGGCTACACATTTTTTCTCATCTATATGGTTGTCATAAACACACAACATGTCTTTATCAAAGATTAATATGTAACAAATATCAGAAGGGGTAATTTTGGACCAGTTATTTTTATTCTTACAAACTTTGCAGTCCTTTCCCTAAAGATCATCTATATGAAGTTACACTTTTGGTTCAAGACAACAAGATTTGCTAAGATTTAACAAATTCTACTCCTTTCTGCCCCTTAAATATGCCCCGATTGAGGCCACACCTTTATCTATTGTAAACTTTAAGAAGCTAACTTTACCTAATTTTACTCCTTTTTTACCCCCACCTGGGGTCCTTGTGCAGCCATTACTTTTTTCCCCACAAACTAAATGTGTCTTATTACACAGATGCTTTGTGTTTAGTGTGGTTGTAACCCAAAAACATGGTCAAAGCCATTAGAACCCATTTTCAAAAAAAAAATATAACTGACCCCTTTTTGCCAGCCATGAGGCCCCAGAACCCCTCAGACACTTTTTTCAACTCAAAGTCACATGTTCTTCACTAGGGGACCCTATATACTAAATTTGGTTGATCCGTCAACTTTGAATTTTGACCCCTTTTAAAAGCCCCTGGAGGGCCTGTTTATGACCCAGTTTTTTTCTAATTCACAAACTTTGTAAACCTTGCTCTAGAATCATGAATTTTGAATTTTAGGAAATTCTGATCCTTGGTTCATAAGAAGAAGTTTTTTTTAAAGATTTACCTAATTTTTGCCCCCTCCTGTAGCCCCTATTGGAGCCACACCATTTTCTTTCGCAAACTTGATGCATCTTACTATAGGGATACTTTGTGCCAAGCTTGGTTGAAATCCATCCAGTGGTTCTTGAGAAAAGTTGAAAATGTGAAAAGTTAACAACACATGACGGGCGACGACAGACAAATCATGATGGCAATAGGTCACCATGAGCCTTTGGCTCAGGTGACCTAAAAATGGAGATAATGAAATGCAACCCTTCCTGCCAGACTCATCAGCCATAGACTTGTTGAATTCAGAGAATGACAAAATCATAATACTGATCACAGTTGACAAAGCTCATCATTTAAACAAAAAACAAACAATAAAGACTGATTTCACTTGCAGTAATGTTTTATTCTATTTTTTTTAAATATTTTTTCTTAGCTTTAAGAAGATGCACATCTAAATCACTGTATCAAAAATTGTATAAAATCTCATGCATACATAACCATTACATTCTATATCTCTTACTCTCTCAGTTCATTGTGTGCCACACTAGAAGATTTATCTCCCCTTACACTTATACTAAACATGGCGTGTGATACCACAGTGGTCGTTCTCTCACACTATTCTCTCAGTGGTCCAGGTTAGGACTGAACTTCCACATATATATATATAGATATATGTATATATAAATACATTTATACAAATGAAAAATTTGTATTTAAATATCAATGGCATGTAAATGAAATAGTTGCATAGCCAACATAGATGATTTAATCTTGAGAGTTACCTCTATCAGGACAGAAAAAAAAACAAAACCAACCAAACGCCACATCATTTTCAGAAAGGACTTCAGAAATCTGTTGAACCCAACATATCTAGCATACCATTAATTACAAGCTCTCTGAAATCTAAAGCCGCTTATATGTTCTAAAATCTAGGCAAAACCAGTCTGGACAGAGTCAATCCTGTACTATCTAATCAAATCAAACTAGAACAAAAATAAAAAACAAAACAAAAGAAAAGCACCATGATGGAGAATATGGCTGGGTACATAAATCTAAAATCAAGGTACAGTTAATGTCTATTATTAAGTGTTATCAGTTTTAGCTTCACAGTGAAAGGAAATTGATTGTAACCAAAGTATGATAACTTTCACACCACTATATGTTATACACATGTACATCAGCTAAACAGTAACAACAATCTCTATCTCATACATTCGTCTTTGGTTTTGTTTTACAATTCAATGATAGGTTTTTACACTAATATTTACACAATTTACATTGGCTATAGGGTACTATAAATTTCATGTGTTTATAAACTGTAAGAATTTCTGCAGACTACACTGATGTAAAACACCTGGGGACTAGTAGACAATCCTGCATAGCTAATGTCACACAGAGAAACTCAAAAATAAAACACAAATATATTTACATTGTTATCACAAAAATTTCATCAATGGATTTTGTTCAGTTTTTTTTAATGATAAACAATGTACATAATTTCAAAATAAACAAATAAGACAACAAATTATAATGGGATTAATCTGTTAATTTTCACGATTTTTATCTGTGTCTAATACCCAGGACACGAAAAAAAATTAAACCAGGAAATAGTAAAATGACAATCAATACAATATAAAAACAGGAACTTTTTGAAACATGTAACTTACTCGGTCAATACAAAAACAACACTCGGTAAGCAAAATGATCAGGGCAATTCTATACATTGTTTTCCAGTCCAATACTTTTAGATCAAATTACATTTATAGTAAATTCAATTTACAGAAATTGAGTTTTGTATCCATCACTTAAATGAAAGCTTCAGAGTAAATTTCTATTGAGGAGGTTCATTCTGTCTGACCCAGGACAATGAAAGATGAGTGCCACTAACACTAAGGTTCTACTATAACAATATTGACAGCTACATTGATTACATCTCCTCATATGTATACATCTGAACCCAGTGACAACAAAAATAATCTTAATCATTTCAATGTTTGCTGATCATATTAACATTAACAGGTATAGATAGAAAACTAATTTAATTTTTAAGATAGTTTATAAGTACAATAACCAATGGCAACACAAATTCCTATTCATTCCAATTACATCATCATGAATATTTCAAAGTTAAAATGTTTGGCAAAAATTTGTTTCCATCCCGAACAGATCTAAATTATCCACTTAAGCAACTGCATGCCATAGTGTGTTCCTTAAAACTGTCATATAGGAACATTCTGGAAGGTAACTATGACATAGCAACCACAAGGGAGGTAAATGTGACATAGCAACCACAAGGGAGGTAACTGTGACAAAATAACCACAAGGGAGGTAACTGTGACATAGCAACCACAAGGGAGGTAACTGTGACACAGCATTAGTAACAGAGATAACATGGAAGCTCTCACCCTATCATGGAAGTTTATCTGAAGAATTTAAAATCGCATATAAAACAAAATGTTTCTAATTTTACACCAGTGATTACACCTAACAAATGACCATTAAGTAAAACCTTGTAACTCATAATATGATTTATTTTTAAAGAGATATTGACAACTGCTAATTGATGATTTGTAAACAGAAAATCTTCAGACTTACAAGGTTCCACTGTGACATATATAAAAGTGGGCTAGGAAACATCACAAATTACAAGATATGATACAACTACATAAAATAGGAGAAACTTGACTAGCACAACCTTGCACATTGTTACATTTAAAATCTTAAAGGTAAATATATGAGCGTAATTATATTTGTTGTAAAAACAAAACCATATATATTATATGTATATGTTAGTTGGATTTTTGTAATGATTAATACCACAAATAACATTTCATTTCAAGTCAGAATCACATACTTTAAGTTAAATTAACTCTCAAAGAAATATAAAACAAGTGGTGACTATCTCTAAGATGTGGTGGGTAATCAAGGGCCTTTAATTACTGGAGTCAACACTTTTGAAACCTGATGGGTTTTCTAAGTAACATTTCAAAGTCTGTTGGGTCATCTAGGACAGAGCTACAGGGCATTTGCAACAATGAAATCTGGTGGGTTTTCTAGAGTATCGGTTGTCTAAGGTGGTATCATTGTTGTAGCGTGATGGGTTATCTAGGGTGGTATCACTGTTGTAGTGTGATGGGTTATCTAGGGTGGTATCACTGTTGTAGTGTGATGGGTTATCTAGGGTGGTATCATTGTTGCAGTGTGATAGGTTATCTAGGATGGTATCACTGTTGCAGTGTGATGGGTTATCTAGGGTGGTATCACTGTTGTATTGTGATGGGTTTTCTAGGGTGGTATCACTGTTGTAGTGTGATGGGTTATCTAGGGTGGTATCACTGTTGTAGTGTGATGGGTTATCTAGGGTGGTATCACTAGTGTAGTGTGATGGGTTATCTAGGGTGGTATCACTGTTGTAATGTGATGGGTTATCTAGGGTGGTATCACTGTTGTAGTGTAATGGGTTATCTAGGGTGGTATCACTAGTGTAGTGTGATGGGTTATCTAGGGTGGTATCACTGTTGTAATGTGATGGGTTATCTAGGGTGGTATCACTGTTGTAGTGTGATGGGTTATCTAGGGCGGTATCACTGTTGCAGTGTGATGGGTTATCTAGGGTGGTATCAGTGTTGTAGTGTGATGGGTTATCTAGGATGGTATCACTGTTGTAGTGTGATGGGTTATCTAGGGTGGTATCACTGTTGTAGTGTGATGGGTTATCTAGGATGCAATAGCTGGGTTTTGGTCAATCTTTTTTCTGTCTGGTGGGTTCTTTAGGGTTCAATAACTATGAACAATGTATATATCAACCTTTATATGTCTGGTGGGGTATCAAGGGTTCAATAACTGGGCATTTATCAACCTTTTTATGTCAAGGGGGTATCAAGGTTTTGTAACTGGGTATTTATCAATTTTATTTATGTCTCTTGAGGTATCTAGGGAGCAGTGAGTATGTATTTGTCAGTAATTCTCTATCTGCTGTGTGGTATCCAGGGTAACTGGAGCTGTAGTGTGTTGGTAAACAATATTTATAGGAGCTGTAGTGTGTTGCTAAACAATATTTATAGGAGCTGTAGTGTGTTGGTAAACAATATTTATAGGAGCTGTAGTATGTTGGTAAACAATATTTATAGGAGCTGTAGTGTGTTGGTAAACAATATTTATAGGAGCTGTAGTGTGTTGGTAAACAATATTTATGGGAGGTAATGTATGGGGTTCATCAGTTTGACTGCCACATGATAACATGGCTACATGAATCTTGTAATTGAAAATCTAGGCCAGACTGAGCTATCTAAGACCACCAATAGACAACATGAACGCTGATTGATACATCTGCATAGAAAATTAATCTATGGCAAGTACAGATTACTTTTGTATGTGAATGGTATTGACTGTCGGTTGAATGAATAATGATTCTTTTGGCACAAAGAAAACTATATCTATTGAATTAGCTTATAGACCTAATAATATATGCAATATTGTTATGTACATGAGCATGTGTACTATTTATTGATACAAAAGATGAAGGCAAAAATATGCTAAATGGTTTCTATTTTCTAAAATAAATGTTGATCATTCTTCTTCACCTTTCATAAAAAAATCTATAACGGTCTTCACCCTTTCAGAAAATTATCAAATCATTTGTCCAAAATCCAAGTAAATTACTGTGTGTATTACCAATTTTGGATTTTTTTTTCATTTTCGAAAATAGTTGGAAAAAAAAAAAAAAATGTGCAATGTGGAGTATCAAATTCTGTTCATGAATGAAGGATGACCTAAAATCCAAATCTACAGCGGAGTGCGATATGAAAATATGAAATCAGCTGAATCATGTCATTACAAGTAAATAGTTTCATACTTAAAAATAGCTTGTACATTTAACACATAAAAAATTACATACAAAGACAGTTCTGGTCAGTTGCACCAGAGCTATAGGTATGTTAATGAACACATGGATGTGCTGTTGGGTTGAGTCTTTGACCTGGAGTCACTCTTCTGCAAACTAGTCTCACCATTAGTTGAACAAGATGTGCTGATCTATGAAATAGTCTTGCTGTTCAATCAACTGGACTCACTTTTCAGGAGTCTCACAGTAAGGTGAACAAGATACACTGATCTATGAACTTGTCCGTTCTATAAATGTTATGTGAACCAGTCGAACACGAACCAGTCTCTGTTGTTTGATGGAAAGTCTCATTTTTTCAGCATATAAACACTTATGAACTGCTTATCCTTCTGCATGCAAGTCCTATCTACAGGATGTAGTTATATTACAACAGCATCACTTTATTGGCTAATCTACAGTGGATTGGAAATCAGCTGGCCAGACACCTGAGGCCTACATATGGACAGTGCACAGAGATTCGTCGAGTACAGGTGGCAGACGATGGTGAATTGAGAACTTTATTGTGTGTGCGTGATCCTCACTCTTTCCTAGGCAGATGACACTGACTTTTACATTTGGAACAGGCCTTCTGGTTACATGGCACTCACTTTTACTCAAGTAATGATGAGGAGTACAAAACATATACTATGTCACAGCACTTACCGTGCAATGACAGAAGAAATTGAAAAATTGACCTGACGAGGTATATACCATCAGCAGTAGAAGCACTTCAAAACAAACGAAACACAAGAGTCAGATCTCCATCCAACCAATGTTTGCATTAAAGCCAAGTATGCATAGTAACAAATGATGAAATTAAAGCTCCTTTGTGAGTGTGATATGTGTATCAGCAGTAAACTTCTGCCTCCATTGTCATTCGAACCTGCTCAAGTTTGTAAGTCAGGCGGTTCTTTTTGGCAAATTCATCTTCTTCAAGAGCCTGCCACAACTGTAAACAGAATCACATGTATACAGTTGACAGGATGGCATCACATACAACATATTCTATACATATATTAATTAATCAAATTAAATAATGTGTTGGTCCTGTAACACATCATGCAACAGCAAATATACTTATCAGTTAGTCAGCAACACTTGTGTTTGTTACAGTTCCACATTTTATTTTTAATTTTTTAAATTGATGATTTGAAACACACTTCAGATTTCATTATCAATTTTTTAATTTACAGGAATCAAATGGAAGATTTGAAACACATGACAGATTTTTTGCACATTTTGTTATTTTAAGGTATTCATATTAAAAAACATTTAAAGTATACTGAATTTTCATCAAAATATTGATTTTTCAATTACTTCTCTTTTCAAACTAAAACTTGAGAAAAGCTAAATCAGTGATCAATGATGTCACCAAAAAGAAAAGAAAAAAAACCCCACATAAACATGTGACAAAATGCTGAATTAAGTCTCAAAACACATATGTAATTCCTATTCATCGCAATGGAATGATGCAGAGTTTTGTGAAATACTGTTGGCGTCAACCTTACCTCTTCATTGTATTTCTGTACATATTTATATAGTTCCAGAAGGGCTGCGCTGGTATTAAACTCATCCTGATGACACTAGAATTAAAAGTATTAAATACGAATAAATACATGCTAAGACGAAATCTATTTCAGGTCTGAAGAAGTCTGAGAAGCCAAGAGAGGCATTCTTGATAGTCTTGCATTTTTGTTATTTTATCATATTTATTTCTTCACGAGGAATTAATTTTCATTTTATTTACTCACTATATATATTTTCACAGATATTTACATTTCCTTTCCCATTTTAAACATTGATGCAGCAAATTACATTATCATACTCTTATATCCAAATGACCTTCGTACAAATATGTTTATGACCTGTACACCTCAAGGCAGGACCAAAATAACATGATCCATGCTTCAATAATGACTGAGGTGTATTAAATTTCTATTGATAAAACTATAACAGGATTTGTATGATGTCTCCACCAATCCTAATCCAACTGTTTATATCACCGTCATGGTCCTGGACCTGGCTGTGACATGGTTCTTATGTTCATTACTTATTTTACAGTCTTCTCTTGTGAATGACCTTAACATGACCTTGGCTAGATATATACACAGACACTAACCCTGGATTCATCGGTCATCATGGCGGTCATATCCTGGTCACTGATGGCGGGCATCATCTTGATGTCCTGGTAGTATCGTTCTACCCACTTCTTATACTTTGGGATGTCCTTGGCATAGAGGAGCTTGCTGGACGGGGAGTCCTTACCCAGACGGTGCTCTGACATGGAGCAGCTATCCATAAATGTCTGGGCCACCACAGACAGACACGAATCCACAATGGGTGACTTGTAGATGTCAAACACAAAGTTGGGGTTCTTTATCACATTAACCCAGAACCTTAGTGGAAGACTGAAATGGAAAAACATACAAATCTTCAGCTCCTTCAAAGGCTTTATAGAAGTCAATATCAACCAAAACATGTCATATGAGTCAATTTTAACAAAGTGGTGTAACACGAGTCACTCTCCATCAAGTGGTGTAACACAAGTCAATTTTCACCAATTGGTGCAACACGAGTCAATTTCCACCCATTGGTGTAACATGAGTCAATTTCCATCAACTGGTGTAACATGAGTTCATTTGAGCCAAATGCTACATGAAACTATCATCAGGTGTCATTCCAGTTACTATCATTTGTTATGATATATTCTATGGGCTATCAGACATATTACTTTAAACATCATGTCATGTTCACAGGTTTTCAATTATAAAATATGATCATCACTTACCTATTGGATTTCCATGTGTGTACAACCTCGATGTCCTGTATACCATGTTGTAGGGCTTGGTCGTCTAGGAAGTCAAACATGTACTTAATGGCAAGGGGAAGGGCTGTACACCTGTGGTTAGTGCTGAATATCCTCTCAAACAAGTCGTCAACAAACTGTTGAAGGGTACCCTGTAAATAGTCAACAAATTAATTATGAAAATTTGAACCAGATCTGTAAAGATATTCTGAAAGATAAAGAACAGGGGTAGTATTATGTTTCCTCCCCAAACCAATAAGATAAGTGGGGCATCAAAATCAGACAGCTATCAATGTAAAAAGAGTAACAAAAGAGCAACCAACTGACATCTGGACAGACAGTCACTTTAGCCATGGTCAAAATCTAAACAACTTACCTTGGTGGCAAGAAGTCTGGTGAGATAGATTTCAGACACCATCTTACTGCCGCGATCTCCCTCTTTTAGGGTCTCGGCATCGTGTTGTTTGACGAGGTGGTAATACTTGTATCCACTCCCGTCTGTGTCTGCGTGGAAACCTTGTGGAGTTCGGTTTAGGGATGGACTCCTGGAGTAAATGAAATCTGGCAAAACAGAAAAACTGATCAGAAATTGTTCAATCTCAGCAGTTACACAAATTCAAAAATCTTTTACGCCTCTGAGTGGGAAATCTACAACACTACATAAACTAATGCACAATATTTTGTTGCTAAAGATGGATTATGATATCCAGTGATGTTCTCACAGGAACTAGAAGTCTCAAGTTTGAATTGGTTTTGACTCCCAGAGATACTTACCACTGTACAGCTTGGACCCAGATTTATCGTTTGAGTTCATGGAGAGGTTATAGTAGGACTGAGGCTGTTTTGGCACCAATGTCATGAATGCACCATCAGGTACCTGTCAAAGGGAGACAACTCATTATTTGACACTTCAATGTTTAAACCATGCCAATCTTTATTGATATACATATAAAATACTCCACACACACTGCACAATGAAAATTAACATTTTGCATGAACAACATTCACATATTTGCATGATATTTACTGAAGGAACATACATGAAAATCCTGTTTTGAAAATGGAATGACATGGTTAAATCTTTATCCCAGACCACTTCTACTATGTTCTACTATGTTGCAAGGTCATTGAATATCATATAAAATACATTCAATGTTGCACACTTTATACTTCTAAATGTTCCATGACTGATACAATTAAATAGATGTTTTCATTTTTTTCAATTAAATGATGCTCTAGAAACTTTTAACTAATTGTCTCTACACCTTATGGTTCTCATAAGAAGTAGGTTGTTTTTTTTTTTAATTTGAAAGTATTTAATCTTAGTGACTTTGAACACGTACAATATAACATGTTGGGACAAATTGTCTTCAAAGCTAGACATACAGCAAACTATGTTTCATGATTCTGATCCTCATTAAATGCTTTACATGACCCTTTGGATCAAACCAAATCTATTCCCCCTGTATTTCAATATGGGTCAAGGTCAATAATAAGATCAAACCATAATTTGATAGACATTTCGATAAACCTTTTCAGTTCCAAAAATGATATTTCATGAAGACTCCTAAGTAATCTGAACAAATCTGGTATCTTTCACTATATATACTACTATATACAATTGTGTATCCTTAATTTAGATGTCATTGGAAGGTTTTTATCAAATTCTTTCTGCAAACATTTGGTGCTTTTCCCCTCCAATCTTCATTTTTATTAAAGATTTTTATTCCAGGCTTCAGTGCTTTGACCACTACAACTTCAAACATAAGGTAATTTTCTTTTCCATAATCATTTATCATAAGCCATATCAACAACAGTTATGACCTTGACCCTTGATCCTCAGGCCTGCTATTCTATTATAAGCACTTTAATTAAGAACGCGGGCTATCTGAAGTTGGAGGTTGAGAACTGGACTACTAAGCATCAGTAATCCTGCTCTTTGACCTTTGGGGCAAATAGTACTGCACTTCATCTTAGTTTGGGTTTTTCAAATGTCAATTAAAAATTCATCAATTTAAAAAGCAATAAAATGTCTAATGAATAAAGAGTGATCCTATATTCCCACAGTGGTACGTAATCTGACCTTGACCTGTCAATCACTCTCAAATGCTCCAAACATCTGAAATCAGGAAGAACAACGATTTCCTGACTGGTGAGTACATACCTTGTAATGACAACACGAATTGAGGCGTTTATATTCTCCTTCTATCTTCGTTGACACATCATCATCTTGTAAAATTAGACGCCCCTTAATCCCGCTGTTCCATTCTGGAGATTTATCAAATAACACTGTAACCGTGGAAACAATTGCAACTATTAACAACGACCACTCACAACCTCTGCAGTGCAGAATCCTTGGTTCGTGATGATGAAGATGATATGAAAGGCAATGAACCATGCCAAAGATGCTGATGTTTCTGTACAATGGTCACTTTTTTTATACAATAATTTCAAAATTTTACAGACATACAAAATCATGAGGATAAGTTTTAAAGTTTTCAAATGACTGGTTCAAAATTGATGTACAGAAACATCAGCTTCAGGGTTCAAATTTGACAGGAAGTGACCTCATGTCTAACATGAAGTCTACATAAAGAAGGGTTTGGGAAAGAAGGCAAAGAAACGAAAATCTGTAAAATATTAGATATGAAAAGTATAAATCGAGTCCTCTCCCAGGGAAGGTTCAAACTAAGAACATGCACATAGTAGAAGCCAACACAGATGTCTAGGTGTTTTAAGTCATACCTCAGATCTACTCTAATAACTACTATTTATCACTTTGATATATTTATTGTAATCAGTCCTACCCTCCCTGACATTGTTATATATATTCTAGTTTGAATCCCTACTATCATGTGAAATTTTTTTTTTTTTTGGAAAAAAAAAAAGGAATAAATCTCTAAGGAATTAGATATGGTGGATGGTTCCTATCTCTAGTGCAGTCTAGTAATTCTTAGATATGGTGGTCCTTAACTTGGTTCCTATCTCTAGTGCAGTCTAGTAATTCTTAGATATGGTGGTCCTTAAATTGGTTCCTATCTCTAGTGCAGTCAAATAATTCTGGAATATGGTGGTCCTTAAATTGGTTTCTAACACTAGTGCTTCCAGTAATTCTTAGATATGGTGGTCCTTAACTTGGTTCCTATCTCTAGTGCAGTCCAGTAATTCTTAGATATGGTGGTCCTTAACTTGGTTCCTATCTCTAGTGCAGTCCAGTAATTTTTAGATATGGTGGTCCTTAACATGGTTCCTATCTCTAGTGCAGTCAAATAATTTTTAGATATGGTGGTCCTTAACTTGGTTCCTATCTCTAGTGCAGTCCAGTAATTCTTAGATATGGTGGTCCTTAACATGGTTCCTATCTCTAGTGCAGTCCAGTAATTCTTAGATATGGTGGTCCTTAACTTGGCTATTCCTATTGTTGTTAGTATTAACCTTGGTCATTTCTATAAATAATGGTTCTTAACTTTATCAATATTGTAAAAATAATATTTCTTGACTTGATAATTCCTTTCAGTAATTTTCAGTAATTAATAAGAGATGTTCTTAACCTTGTTAATTAACTATAAGAGATGGTTCTTAACCTTGGTAATTAACTATAAGAGATGGTTCTTAACCTTGGTAATTAACTATAAGAGATGGTTCTTAACCTTGGTAATTAACTATAAGAGATGGTTCTTAACCTTGGTAATTAACTATAAGAGATGGTTCTTAACCTTGGTAATTAACTATAAGAGATGGTTCTTAACCTATGTACTTCCTTGTAAGTTAAATGTTAAATGAAAACAAAAACTCAAAGCAGAAAGGATAGGAAATATGACATGTAATGCGATGATATCAATGAAATGTACGGTCAAAAAAATTAAATTAAATAAAACATAGGCTATTATATGGTATAAAACCACTTTAAAATCATTTGCAATATGAAAAACAACAAAATAACTTTGAATAATATTCAAATTTTAAAAATAAAAAAATGTGTATATATGTAAATAAATATTTGTAAACAGATACAAATGTAATCTAATATTAAGCAATAATACAACATATTGATTATAAATAAAGATGTTGCTACTAATCAGGTGGCTTTCACCTATAACTTTAGCATTATGTATTGGTATAAGAAAAAGTAAAGCATCTGACATTTACACAACAGTAAATGCAATGATAGAGTTATGATCAGTTGTTAGTTACAGAGCAGCATGTTAAAGCTATGTCACCATACTAAAAACAAAAGGTTTCAGGACTTACAACACAGAGCAAGCTCAACCCTGCATTGGAACTATCTAAAAAGTGAAATGCCACTGTCTATTACAACAGAGATAAGGTATGCCACTGTCTATTACAACAGAGACAAGGCATTCCACTCTCTATTACAATGGAGATGGAGTATGCTACTGTTTACTACAACAGAGAAACAAGATATGTCACTGTCTATTACAACAGGCAAGGTTGCCACTATCTACTACAACAGGCAAGGTTGCCACTATCTATTACAATAGACAAGGTATGCCACTGTCTATCACAACAGAGACAAGATATGCCACTGTCTATTACAACAGAGACAAGATATGCCACTGTTTATTACAATTTAGAGGAGGTATAGCAATGTCTACAACAGAAGAGTAGAAATAATGCCACGGTCTACTGAAAAAGAGACAAGGCATGCCACTGTCTACTACACCAGGGAGATGAGGCATGCCACTGTCTAAAACAACAGAGATAAGGCATGCCACTGTCTAAAACAACAGAGATAAGGCATGCCACTTTTTCATTGCAACAGAGAGATGATAAATGCACCAGTCTAATGCAACAAATGTGGCATGGCACCATCTACTACCACAGAAACACAAGTATGCCACTGTATAATCCAACAGGAAGGGGAGATATGATAAGAATTGAAACATGCCACTGTCTATTACAACAATGAGATGAGATAAGCCACATTTACTACAGCAGAAATGTGGCATGACACAGTGTGCACATCAGAAACATGGCATGCCACCATCTACTACTGTAGAAACTTAACGTGCCACTGTCTACTACAACAGAGAAATGAGACATGCTACCATCTACTACAGCAGAAATGTGGCATTCCACTGTCTATTACAACAGTGAAAGGAGACATGCCACCATCTACTACAGCTGAAAGTGGCATTCCACCATCTACTACAGCAGTGAAATGAGACATGCCACTATCTTCTACAGCAGAAACATGGTATGCCACTGTCTACTACAGCAGAAACCTGGTATGCCACTGTCTACTACAGCAGAAATGTGGTATGCCACTGTCTACAACAGCAGAAACGTGGTATGCCACTGTCTACTACAGCAGAAACGTGGTATGCCACTGTCTACAACAGCAGAAACGTGGTATGCCACTGTCTACTACAGCAGAAACGTGGTATGCCACTGTCTACTACAACAGAAACGTGGTATGCCACCATTTACTACAGCAGAAACGTGTTATGCCACTGTCTACTACAGCAGAAACGTGGTATGCCACTGTTTACTACAGCAGAAATGTGGCATGCTGACTCCCACTATAACAAGAGATGAGACATCTACTACTATGATATATGAGAAATGACAGGAGTAGACATGAACCAGTCCAGGACTGGGCGTCCTCTACCACATATACTACAGCTTCACAACATGCAACGACATACAACACAGTAAACAAGCATTCTAGGCTTCTTTCTTCATAATTTATGTTGTAGCATCACAATATAAGCAAACAAAAGAGGTCATTCCATGCCTTAAACTATATCCACATATAATCTCCTTCATGCTAATGGAAACCAAGTGAATTGTCAGGACACAGGTTAGTCTTCATAACAAATCATAGTCATCAGGTACTCCAGACCTCATCACATTTATAGCCAAAAGATGGCTTCAATTCCAAACAATTATTTCATATTTTGTCTTGTTCTTATAAATAAAATTCTCGATCACTTGAAAGGATGTCCCATCATGTTTTGTAAATTGATGCATCAAACTGTGTGTCCTGACAATTTGATTCAACACTGCTTCATACACACTGGACAAACACTCTGTCTTCACTCAGTCTAAAATAAATCTCTTTCTTTCTGCATACCAATAACAAATTAAATAAAACTGAACCAAAATCAGTATCTATATTCCCTTCACATCTGGAATGAGTAGCTGATGGCTCCTGTTCCACATCCATACTTTGGTTAACAAGCCATTAATTCTCATCATTCACTCAAGTTAATAACATCAATCATGCATTCATACACTCAATTAATATAAAATGTGAATTATTTAATTACTCAAAACCAAGCACATCCTTGATACTATGACAACAGCAACTAGTTCCATACATAACAACAATGACTATAGTTCCTTAGTGAGACTAATTTTTAATTACCATGACAACAATTACTAGTTCTGTAGAGTGCGACTAATGTCTAGTTATCATGACAACAATGACTAGTTCCAAAGATTGCAAATGATGCAAAGTTACCATGACGACAATGACTAGATCAACACAATTCCAGGCCAGCCCACCAATCAAAGCTGTTATAGATATCCAATGTTGCTTTGATCTTTTCCTTTCCCAAGCTCAATATTGGAGCCCTATTACAAAGCTGCCCTGAGTTTGTGCTGCCCTTAACATAACATTGGCCTGGTTTGATGTTTACCCAAACAAATAGTTGTGACTTACCTAAGTCTACATCATCTTTTATAGGTCGACTACTAAATGGAGCATTTTTGTAGATGGCATCTAAGATCTTCTCCTTGACTTGAGCTATGGTATCACAGTCCAGTACTTTGACTGGGTGAGGCTGCTGACCAAACTGTTCCATGTCCTGTACATAGACAGTCTACAAACAAAGAACCCACACGTATATACAATACTTCCTGATATTTTTTCTCTTCAACTCTAACTCTAGATTTTCTTCTATATCACACAATTTGTGTCATGTAAACTTCTCAACAAACTCCGCCAACTATTTTCACTGTTGTGTAATCACTTATTTGATGATTCACCATGTTGTACACAGTGACCTATCATTTGTCTGTACCTTGTGACCTTCAGTTTGTCTGTACCCTGTGACCTTCAGTTTGTCTGTACCCTGTGACCTTCAGTTTGTCTGTACCCTGTGACCTTCAGTTTGTCTGTACCCTGTGACCTTCAGTTTGTCTGTACCGTGTGATCTACCATTTATTTGCACTATGTGACATATAAGTTGCCTATTCCTTGTGACCTTCCATCTAACCGTACCCTGTGATCTATTATTTGTGTGTACCATGTGACCTATTATTTGTCTGTACCTGGTGATCTACAGTTTGTCTGTACCCTGTGACCTACTATTTGTCTGTACCCTTTGACCTACAGTTCGTCTGTACCTTGTGATCTACCATTTGTCAGTACCCTGTGACCTACTATTTGTCTGTTCCTTGTGACCTTCCATTTTACTGTACTGTGACCTATTATTTATGTGCACCCTGTGACCTTTGTACCCTTTGACCTACCATTTGTTTGTACTCTATCTGCTGTCGGATGAGCTTGTCCTCACTGAGAGAGTATCTGGCTTCACTTGTGACATTGTCCACTGGTCCTTTTGACACCTGTTGCTTCATGGCCTGATACAGCATAAACAACGGTTCTCCTGCACATTCCTTTAAACAACAATCAATATTTGCATCACAAACGAAAGTTCATCACGATCCCACAAAGTCAGCAGAAGTCCATGTGAGCTCTTGGTCGAACAACAAAATCTAACTTATAATATCCATAAATGGAATTTCTTTGAATTAAGAGAATTTAGAGGATAAGTTTTAAAACTTTTTACATTGTGATGTATTTGGATGAATTTGACAGGTTTAGAAATCTGGATCTATTTAGTAAGAGAAAGAGTTGAGTGAGAAACTTACCCTCAGGAATTTGTAAAGTAAGAAAGTGAACCAGTTGGTCAGCATCTTCTCAGCTACTGATTCAGTCCTGAAAAAACCAATTGTCTCATTAAAGCGCAACTGTACAATGTTAAAGTGTTAGTTTTGCAAGTACAATAGCAAAAATGTTCAGATGTTGGTTAAAATGTAAAACAGGAGAATTTGGTAAATAAACAAACACTCTATAAAATCTACGAAAAACCATCTTCATTATAGGAAAATGCACCATACAGGAAAAGTTATGCTATCATAGTAATTACAAGAATGACTGTGTTTTACCTACCGTCTTAATAACAACTTCGGGTGATTTTTGCCTTCAACAGATTTTTCTATCAGTTCTGCAAGTAGGGTCTTCAGTATACTGAAACAGCAAGTAAAATCATCATAGGTAAGTTTTTTTTCCTTTTACAAATTTTCAATATTTCACAAAATGGTATTTACTACAATAATATTGTTTTATTATGAGCATCATTAAGATAACGTTCACGTTTACAAACAGTTTTGCACCTATACATATCATGATTCTTTCTGAAGAATTAAGTCCCTTGTTGTTTAACAAACAGACATTAAGATATGAATTGTTCCTGTTTATCCAGATATCCCATTTCTTTGGATCAGTTTCATTACAGATAAAACACAAAGTTATAATTCCTTTGTCATTCTTTAACTCATACTTACTCCGTGGCGTACTCCATTTTGGTCTGCAGAGCTACGGAGATGAGGGAGGCAACATTGACTCTGTCCCGCATTGTGAAATGTTTGTGTCCCTCCAGAGTACGGACAAAGATCAACAGGAAGGTCTTATTGTTGAGCATCTGTGCGAACTGTTTCAGTCCTCTCTCTACACTCTCCCTTCTAGCATAGTCAACCTATAGTAACAAAACCATAATTTTACCATGAGGTGTTTTTATTTTACTTCTGATCTTTTCACTGTCTAAAGAACTTAACTTTTTTCAATATGTTATTTGAGGATTTATCTTACCAGCAAAACAATATCAATCAAATTTTACAGCTGAACGATAAGACCGGTTCGTGCTTCTTTTTATTGCTATGATAAACTGTAAAAAGAGAATTCTACTATATGGATCAGCTCACTTCATATCAATATTCAATGACAAGATGTTTAAACAATATTGGTATACTGAGAACCTAGGGGGACTGGACTGGTAAATAAGCATACCTCCAGGTCCCTGATGACTGGATGGTCGACGTCCTGGTCAAGTGCATCCTGTTTAGGGAACAGTACTCTCATACAATAGGTTCTGTAATCCCAGAATGGGATGGCTACCTGCCCGTACAAGTCAGATGTCAGTTCTGTCATGTCGGTCTGCAGCTCAGCAAAGGCTGTGATTCAACAGGGTAAAAAGCATTTTATTATAGAATCAAATAAAATTTGATAAGTACCTTTTCTACAAAGAAACACTGTTATAGGGTTTGTTAGGATACTTCATTTCTGACAACAAAACATCAACTTGATAACTCCAGATCTGGGTCCTTAGACATCAGTGTTTTGGTTTAGAGGGTTTCAGATTTCAGATTCAAGACCTATCTAGTAATGATTCCATCAGGTAAAAACACTGAGAATTAGGCACCTTGATGAGATGTGAGTAGCTAAAATTTCTATATATCAAGAAAAAATCCCAACATGGAAGCCTTATGTAAAACTTTTAAGATTTATTGTTCGTTTTTAATAAGAAACGGTCACACTTGTAAAAGGTTGTACCTTCTTTACACTCTTTAGCCACCTTAGCTTCCAAGTTATCCATTTGTATCTGCATCTTCTTCATCATACTGTCGTTCTTCTTGGACTTGAAGCGGTACATGATGATGACAACAATGATGGCGATGAAAAGAACGCCACCGCATGAGGAAATCAGGATGATGTACTCTAAAGGTAGTGGAAACTTGGCTTCCTCGTATTTCAGGTAGCCAATGAAGATGGTCAGGTTGTGGCCAATGTAGATCTGAAAGAGGCAGTGAAATTTCAGGTAACTTCAGGCAAAATAATTTTATGTGCACTTTTTTTTTTTTATTTCAGTTTGAAAATTTAAAAAAATCCACAACTTTATGAATTTTTTTATGAAAAGTTAAAATACTATTATATAATTTTTTTTCCTAATTCTGGTATATTGTTTCATGTTAAGTATTCTTTTCTTCAATATTCTATGACTTTTTAAGGAATTTCCATAGGAACCAAATTATGTAATACAGACTGAGTTTAGACTAATCAGTTGATGTAACTCACCTCTACTTCAGGGTAGTGATTTTCCTTATCTGACTGAGGCTGTGATTTAGGAGGCTGACAAGTCAATTGGTTTCCTACTGAAGTCACATTACAGTAGCCTCGCCCAATCTTCACTGTCACGTCACTCTGCCTGATACCACTGCTAAGATATTGACCCTACAAAAGACGATGGACACTGAATTCACATTTTCACGGTAACATACAGTCAAACTCGCCTTATTTATCACCTGTATCGGAAAAAACATATGCATAAAGACCATCTGTATCACAAAATACCTGTGTAAAGTGACCACTTGTTAATCACAAATACTTGTCTATAGAGGTCAGCTGTGTATTACTAATACCTAACTATACAGGTCATCTGTATACATAAAAACACCTGTCTAAAAACCACTTGGTTAGGTTCCAAATGTAACAGAATTTATAAATATGTGTGTATAAGACCAGCTATGTATCATAGTCTCTTTTCTCCTCTGCCTTGAGCTGACTTGATACACAGGTTTGTTGTATATTGAAAATGACCTTGACTTGAAAACAAACTGAATCTGAACTTGTGTATAAAGCTGAGTACAGCATACAATTAGTCATGAGTACTGTATACAATTAGTCATGAGTACTGTATACAATTAGTCATGAGTACTGTATACAATTAGTCATGAGTACTGTATACAATTAGTCATGAGTACAGCATACAATTAGTCATGAGTACTGTATACAATTAGTCATGAGTACTGTATACAATTAGTCATGAGTACTGTATACAATTAGTCATGAGTACTGTATACAATTAGTCATGAGTACTGTATACAATTAGTCATGAGTACAGCATACAATTAGTCAGAACAAGTTGCTAGTCATGGATTTAGGGTGGAAAAGAACTGCAGATGTTTTCAGAAAGATATGTAAACAAATAAATTTTATCATAATCTCCGATACTTACACTGATAGTCAAATACTCGTTGTTCTTCTTTTGGAACGACTTAATCTTGTTTCCTGGGAAAGGTTCAAAGGTTGGATCAGGATAAATACTAAATGTTTTAAACTGTTTTTCATCATATTTTGTTAAGTTGAGCAAGTCTGTGACGTTATCCATGCGGAGCCCGTAGTGGAATGTACGAACTGATGGTACGGATAAATCACGTCGTCTATGAATGTTAAATATCTGTGGGTCAATCATGGGTGACAGGCAGGTGAACATCTCACTGTTGCCAGGGTTACAGTCCTAGAAAAACAAAGACAAATCGCTGATTGATATGTTGAAGAGATACTGTGTACACAATGGTGATAGAAGTAGAGTATTATAACAAGTGAGAAGTTTTTTTTTGTTTTATATATAATACATTATCATTTTTTTGTTTTTTTTTTTTTGTTTTGTTTGTTTTTTTCGTTATTGTAAATTTACATACCCCTTCAAACATGGCCTGATCTGTAAGGATGACCATCTTCGGATTTTTGACAGAGTCGAGATTTTGACCAGTCACCGTAATAGTGATACCACCACTGTAAAATATTTAACATTCCATAGGTTTAAATTCCAACATAATCAGACTACTTTAAACTTAAAGGATTAACCAAGATGACAATGATCATGTACTGAAATCAGACTCTGAAAATAGAAACTATTTAGTGCGAATTTGAAAAAGATTATTTATAATTTAGTTTTATTTCAACCTTGAAATATATAACGATAGATAAATTGAAACCTGATTACCATAATAAAAAGTAAATATGGTGTAAATTAAAGGATGATCACGACATCAGTTTAAAGATGGCCATTATAAGTAAGGGATTATGATAAAGAGGTTAAGAACTTTTCTCACCTCCTGATTGACCTCTTTGGGTTGACATCCTCGATGACTGGATTTTCCTCATAATCAAAGAACTGATCACTCGTAACAAGCTGTCTGTCAAACCACATCTTGACCTTGGCAGCACTTGTCACTTCTAAAGAACTTGGGGTAACACATACAAACTGGTTGGTAGATTTGCTGAAAACAAAGAATTTGAATGAGAAATTATAACAGTTATCTCCCCTGGCCCATCAACGGAGATACAGCAAGCATTTTCTTTCAGTAATGTTGAACAACACTTCCTCATAGTTTTTCAGCAATAAGCCCATGCTTGGTAACAAGCCATATCTACTTCTGTTTAGTACCATTTTCAATAAATACTACACTTCAATGTCCTGTAATAATCTCGTCCTCCTGCCATTGGAGTCCCCTAGACTTTACCAGGATATCTACATATTACAATGGTAAGTGGAAATTTTTCTGTTAGTTCTCATTAACGAATTATACTTTTCCATCTCAATTTTTAAAAGGAGTATGTTTAGTCGATATAAAGAGCTTATTGTACAATAAAAAGGCATGTTTCTCATCCCAAATGTACACTGTGACATGTAGCCTGTGTACTCTTCCCTGTCTTTCATGTGATTTCCCTGTTTCCCATATATTGGTAGTGTTTGAAGTACATACCTTTCTCTGTGAGACGAACAGATACGTCCCCCAATGTATGCAGTGATGTTTGTACCAGCATTCATGTATTGGCCGTTGATGGTTACCCGAGTACCACCTGCCTGAGGACCGTGACTGGGCTGGATACTCTCAATCACCGGGTCCTGTGGATGTGACATGAGTAGTATTGTACATACATCAAAATAAGTCGTGTCGTGTTACATTGTTCAAATATCATAATCACTTTCCACAAGTGTGATTCCTAAATATTTCAGGGTTTTTCTTTTCATTAAATCTCAACTTCTTTATCTCAAATTGCTACAGATGATGGCGATGCATAATTTCAAGGTTTTTATTCAAACATAAAATTAGATATAGGTTATGTGTCTTCTCCCCAGGAGTTCTCCAGATTCTTTGTTATCTGTTATGTTGAGTGTACTTACCACGTAAGTAAAGTGTTCCTTAGACTCAGAAGGATACCTGCTATTGACTGTTACACGGACTGGCCCTGTTGTTCGATCTTTATTGTGAAATACATCTGTCCGACACACAATCCTGTGAAAATCCATAGTCAAAAGTGTTTAAAACATCTCTCTGTTATGTATATATATATTACGTTGTACCAAAAATCCAGAATATTGTTTTCAGGCAAAAATACCAAAAAAATGAACTGGTTGGTATTATAAAATCTTGTAGAAAAGGTTGAAACTGTGTTAGAGTAGACTACTAACATGGATGGCGCTACTTACCGTACAGCTGGGATATACTTGTCACGGATTGGCAGACACTGTATTCCAAATACATCCACATTACTGACTATGTCATCAAAAGTCTTGCCTAAGTCCAGCCCGTCAATGGTCAGCTCTGTTCCTCCTGCCTTTGGACCAGTTAGGGGTCGGATCTACAGAGCAAATAATAATATCATATTCATTATACATGTGAAACAGGAGTTATAACATCACAAGCCTGCCTTTGGACCAGTTAGGGGTCAGATCTACAGAACAAATTATAATTTCATATTCATCATACATGTGAAACAGGAGTTATAACATCACAAGCCTGCCATTGGACCAGTTAGGGGTCGGATCTACAGAACAACAAATTATAATTTCATATACATCATACATGTGAAACAGGAGTTATAACATCACAAGCCTGCCATTGGACCAGTTAGGGGTCGGATCTACAGAACAACAAATTATAATTTCATATACATCATACATGTGAAACAGGAGTTATAATATCACTAGCCCGTCATGTTAATGTATGTAAACAAACATATAATACAGCTATTTAGAGGTAAGTAAATTACTTCACACAGGATATTAAACCTACTGAAATCAACAATAAATGACATCAAACGTCTTTGTGGTGAAAAACATCAGATTTGTCGGGATTATAGTGAATATGTTACAGGACTTTCTCTTATTTCTGTTATCAATATGATTTAATTGTTAAATAGAATCTAGAACTTCCAGCCGAATAATACTAAAATTACTGCTTTTTACCCAACGGATCATTTAATCAATTAAGATAACCCTGCACTTTCATATCTACAATAAATACATAGTGTAAAAAAAAAAAAATTAAAAGAATAACAAAATCATGTGACAAATTAATGCTTCAGGTTCCATTAGACATCAGGTCTGAAACCATGGATACCAACTATCACCATTAATGCCCTGTACATTACACTCAGGCAGATGTGAAGATTTTAATAAACCCTCATATGTACCGACAATTTTGTCAGATTTCACCAAACAAAGCATTACATGAATTTACATCAATACCCTTCCTTGTCACACTTAATGTTCTCATGGTCTTGTAATGTTTCTAAAAAAAATAGCAGTTAGGAAACGGAAATAATGACATTGAAATCAGGAAAAGAATCGACTTTTGTCGCCATGGCAAGCTTCTGAAAAGATTATGTAATGATCTGGCAATCTTAGGTCATGATTAAATGCTCACTACCAAATCTGTACTATCTCAGTCCTTAATCCAACCACCATAACAGGCCTGTTAGCCTCGGCATTATCCCAATACAAGCCATCAAATACCCAGATAGTATCTTCACATAGCTAAGGCCCAAAGCTAGATTTGTAAGATTGTCAGAAACTGTTTCCCAAAACCATTAAAAGGCAACATATTTCATGGTTTTTAACTTACTTCAAACAATCTGTCACATTTATTGTTTTCTAAAAGTTCTGGATTATAAAATCCCTTTAGAATTTGTTTGTTCCTGAAGGACAACTTATTTAAAAGATAACAGATTTTCCAGGAAAATCCCATTTTCATCACCGCCTTTTAGTACTGTGAGATTTTCCTCATTTCCTGGTTTTGACAATAACATGTTGCTATCGACCACCAGAGACTTGTCAGGGCCCTGAGATTTGTGTCTTAAGCTTTGTACAAGTGATAAAATACAGTTTTAAACCTGATATTTGTATCTCACTAATGGGTCTGACAAATATAATCAGAGGGACGAGAACCTTCATCAACCCTCCACTTCCCCACCAACATCAAAGCAGTTGACTCACTTCTATTGAGGTCTTACTCCCCTGTGTTTTTGATATCATTCAGTTTGACTAACATTTTTATACCAAGTTTAATAGTTTTCGACTCAATACAAATATTTTAATACAATTTAAAAATCTTGTTTTTTTCCCCTCCATTTAACATTCCTTCAACAGAAAAACTACTAAAATCAATGACAATTCTAAATATCAGACCAGCCTCTGACGCATAGCCCATTGCATATTTCCCCCCCCCCCCCCCCCCCCCATTCATTTTTATTGGTTAAATTTTCAAAGATTCTGTAAATTGTTGACATCAACGTCTGCAATCATGTCTGTATCAAAGAAAAGAAATTTGCATAAATGCCAATCCAGAAAGCCGTAAATGCTGTTTCGTAAACATGGGACATCGTTGATTATTATAATTACTGGCTTGCCCAGGAGATGCTGGTCTCCTATCTAAACATAGAGTGCTATCCTATCCAACAAGCTCAGAATGGTACACTAAGGTACTGGGGAACACTCAGAGAGAAAAGGTGGGTGTGGTGGAGAGGCTGGAATGGTATGCTAAGGTACTGGGGAACACTCAGAGAGAAAAGGTGGGTGTGGTGGAGAGGCTGGAATGGTATGCTAAGGTACTGGGGAACACTCAGAGAGAAAAGGTGGGTGTGGTGGAGAGGCTGGAATGGTTTGCTAAGGTACTGGGGAACACTCAGGGAGAAAAGGTGGGTGTGGTGGAGAGGCTGGTATGTATAGCTAAGGTACTGGGGAACACTCAGGGAGAAAAGGTGGGTGTGGTGGAGAGGCTGGTATGTATAGCTCAGGTACTGGGGAACACTCAGGGAGAAAAGGTGGATGTGGTGGAGAGGCTAGTATGTATAGCTAAGGTACTGGGGAACACTCAGGGAGAAAAGGTGGGTGTGGTGGAGAGGCTGGTATGTATAGCTCGGGTACTAGGGAACACTCAGGGAGAAAAGTTGGGTGTGTTGGAGAGGCTGGTATGTATAGCTCAGGTAAGGGATGTTCAATGAGAAAATGTGGGCATGGTAGTGAGGCTGGAATGTATAGCTATTGTACTTGGGAAAAGATGGGTGTAGTGGAGAGGCTGGAATGTACAGCTGTTGTACTCGGGAAAAGATGGGTGTAGTGGAGAGGCTGGAATGTACAGCTGTTGTACTCGGGAAAAGATGGGTGTAGTGGAGAGGCTGGAATGTACAGCTGTTGTACTCAGGAAAAGATGGGTGTGGTGGGACTGATGGTTTAGGGATAGCTCTAGGACCTTTAGATTAGGACAGGTCTCTGTGGAGGTATTGTACTTAAACTGTACTGATGGTTTAGGCGTAGTAACCTACCTTTAGGATCTTTGGATTAGGACAGATCTCTGTGGAGGTATTGTACTTAAACTGTACTGATGGTTTAGGTGTAGTAACCTACCTTTAGGACCTTTAGATTAGGACAGGTCTCTGTGGAGGTATTGTACTTAAACTGTACTGATGGTTTAGGCGTAGTAACCTACCTTTAGGATCTTTGGATTAGGACAGGTCTCTGTGGAGGAATTGTACTTAAACTGTACTGATGGTTTAGGTGTAGTAACCTACCTTTAGGATCTTTGGATTAGGACAGGTCTCTGTGGAAGATAACCAATTGTTGACCACTGGACAATCCTTCTTGATGCTGCAGACTTTATTACTGGCCTGGTCACTATCACACCATCCACAGCTGTAGCCGGAGTCCATTACTAGGCATTCTCCACAAGATCCAGCCATCTTCTCACACTTGTACATCTTAACTGTGAACAGAGACATAGTTTGTATCTGACACCAGGTGACTTCACTGTAGCTCACTTAAATCTTGTTCAGATAGAAAGAAAAATCTTAGTACTCCATCCTTTACAAGGATTTTCAGTATTAAATCAAAATTAAAGCATGCAGAACCAAAGCTGACTTGAGGAATGGCGTGGATTGATCTAGCTACACACCACTACAATTGAAGAAGATGTTTCCTTGACAGACTTACTTTGGAGATGACTTGGGTTATCCAGGGGCTTGTGACTAATTCCCCACTCTACTTTCAGAGGGACATTGAGGTAGCTCTTGTTGTCCGGATAATAGAACTGGAACCAAAGGATAGTCAGACATTATTATACCCAATCTTTTGAGTTTTTCTACACTGTGTGATAATCTTTTGAGTTTTTCTACACTGTGTGATAATCTTTTGAGTTTTTCTACACTGTGTGATAATCTTTTGAGTTTTTCTACACTGTGTGATAATCTTTTGAGTTTTTCTACACTGTGTGATAATCTTTTGAGTTTTTCTACACTGTGTGATAATCTTTTGAGTTTTTCTACACTGTATGATAATCTCTTGAGTTAAATGTTTCTTAGACTTACATAAAAGTTGGTACATTCAATAACCTTGACCCCGACTGATATTTCCGTGACTGTGGCCAACTCCCGCTGTTCCTCTCCCCCAAGGCTAAACACACAGTGAAGTGGCCGCTGAAAGTCCTGTAAACCAATCAAAAGAAGGGGAGGTCACTCAAAATAACAAAACAAACTACAGCACATCATATGACTGGGACCATGACACTAAAAGTTTGAGGGTGTTGAAGAACCTCCTACATGAATCTGGTTCAGATTACACATCTCTGCTGCACAATTCTGGTTTAGATTACACATCTCTGCTGCACAATTCTAGTTTAGACTACACATCTCTGCTGCATAATTGTGGTTCAGATTACACATCTCTGCTGTACAATTCTACTTTAGATTACACATCTCTGCTGCACAATTCTAGTTTAGACTACTCATCTCTGCTGCATAATTCTGGTTCAGATTTCACATCTCTGCTGCATAATTGTGGTTCAGATTACACATCTCTGCTGCACAATTCTGGCTTAGATTACACATCTCTGCTGCACAATTCTAGTTTAGACTACACATCTCTGCTGCATAATTGTGGTTCAGACTACACATCTCTGCTGTACAATTCTACTTTAGATTACACATCTCTGCTGCACAATTCTAGTTTAGACTACTCATCTCTGCTGCATAATTCTGGTTTAGATTACACATCTCTGCTGCACAATTCTACTTTAGATTACACATCTCTGCTGCACAATTCTGGTTTAGATTATACATCTCTGCTGCACAATTCTGGTTTAGATTATACATCTCTACTGCACAATTCTGGATTTGATTACATATCTCTACTGCACAATTCTACTTTAGATTACATATCTCTGCTGCACAATTCTGGTTTAGATTATACATCTCTGCTGCACAATTCTGGTTTAGATTACACATCTCTACTGCACAATTCTGGATTTGATTACATATCTCTACTGCACAATTCTGGATTTGATTACATATCTCTGCTGCACAATTCTGGTTTAGATTATACATTTCTGCTACAGAGAAATTTATTTTTGTCTTCTGAACACTTTTCTTACAACATTCAAATCTTTGTCCGGAAAATAAAACAGAACAAAAAAAAAACCTCAAGAAGATTACACATTATCACCTAAGCATTCAAAATTTCAAAATAGAAAAGAATCTTGTCCAAAGTTATAAATGTTGCATAAAAATTAGGAGTCATGACTTAGAAAATGATATGGGCAATTACTGGAGGGTAACTTTCTGTAATATTGATGTACTGTAATAGAATTAAACTTCCCCATAGAGTGTAACACCGCACAGACATCTCACGGCCTCTACATATAGAGAAAATCTATTTCAACCAGACTCTCAATAATTCAAATAAGCCCATATTTGTGTTGTTTTTTGTCTACAGTGGTGTAGATTGGGAGTGTCACCATTTACAATTGAAAGGAGTTTGAGTGTTGGTAGGTCAGAATTTAGAAGTGAGGGCTCCCTGTACAATCATACTTATCAGTTTAAACACAGTGATCATCTAGTACATTCCTCGTTTTTTTTTTATAGTTTTTGTTATGAGTTTAAGCTTTCCTTATTAGAAAAGAAAGTGGGAGCAGGTGAGAGAGAATAAGAAACAAACCAAACATTCTCCAAGTTGCAATAAAGAAAGCAATCAAATTTGTGTTGTTCAGTATCTTCTCAGCACAAAACAAAGGAGAAATCTTTAATTCTACATCATGCCTGAATTTGTTGCTTATAGTAACCAGCAGCAGGATGACAACCTGTCTTTGTATGAACCTTTGACAATTGTTTAAAATCATTACAACAAGAACAAGATAAATACATTTGTACTTTATAGTATATGTTGTCCTTGACCTTTCTTAGATTAAGGAACAGATAAAACTTACATCTGACTTCTCACTTCTGCTAAAATGATTTACCTTGATATTCTTTCCCAGGAGGGAGACTTTTTTGGAAGTGCCAGATGGCACCAAGATGTTTGGGATGTCTTCAGTTACAGGTACCTTCTTGGAGATGAAGGTTGGACAGTAGTTTGGGCCTGGCTCATTGGGAAGCATCAGTCCTTCACTCTGGAACAACAATAGAAACAATATCAGGGGTGAACAAGAACACAATATCAGGGGTGAACAAGAACACAATTTCAGGGGTGAACAAGAACACAATATCAGGTGTGAACAAGAACACAATTTCAGGGGTGAACAAGAACACAATATCAGGTGTAAACAAGAACACAATATCAGGGGTGAACAAGAACACAATTTCAGGGGTGAACAAGAACACAATATCAGGTGTAAACAAGAACACAATATCAGGTGTGAACAAGAACACAATTTCAGGGGTGAACAAGAACACAATATCAGGTGTAAACAAGAACACAATATCAGGGGTGAACAAGAACACAATATCAGGGGTGAACAAGAACACAATATCAGGGGTGAACAAGAACACAATTTCAGGGGTGAACAAGAACACAATTTCAGGGGTGAACAAGAACACAATTTCAGGGGTGAACAAGAACACAATTTCAGGGGTGAACAAGTACACAATATCAGGTGTAAACAAGAACACAATATCAGGAGTGAACAAGAACACAATATCAGGGTTGAACAAGAACACAATATCAGGGGGTGAACAAGAACACAATATCAGGTGTGGACAAGAACATAATATCAGGGGTGAACAAGAACACAGTATCAGGTGTGAACAAGAACACAATTTCAGGGGTGAACAAGAACATAATATCAGGGGTTGACAAGAACACAATATCAGGGGTGAACAAGAACACAATATCAGGGGTTGACAAGAACACAATTTCAGGGGTGAACAAGAACACAATATCAGGGGTGAACAAGAACACAATATCAGGGGTGAACAAGAACATAATATCAGGGGTTGACAAGAACACAATATCAGGGGTGAACAAGAACACAATATCAGGGGTTGACAAGAACACAATTTCAGGGGTGAACAAGAACACAATATCAGGGGTGAACAAGAACACAATATCAGGAGTGAACAAGAACACAATATCAGGGTTGAACAAGAACACAATATCAGGGGGTGAACAAGAACACAATATCAGGTGTGGACAAGAACATAATATCAGGGGTGAACAAGAACACAGTATCAGGTGTGAACAAGAACACAATTTCAGGGGTGAACAAGAACATAATATCAGGGGTTGACAAGAACACAATATCAGGGGTGAACAAGAACACAATATCAGGGGTTGACAAGAACACAATATCAGGGGTGAACAAGAACACAATATCAGGGGGTGAACAAGAACACAATATCAGGTGTGGACAAGAACATAATATCAGGGGTGAACAAGTACACAATATCAGGTGTAAACAAGAACACTATATCAGGGGTGAACAAGAACACAATATCAGGGTTGAACAAGAACACAATATCAGGGGGTGAACAAGAACACAATATCAGGTGTGGACAAGAACATAATATCAGGGGTGAACAAGAACATAATATCAGGTGTGAACAAGAACACAATTTCAGGGGTGAACAAGAACACAATATCAGGGGTGAACAAGTACACAATATCAGGTGTAAACAAGAACACAATTTCAGGGGTGAACAAGAACAGAATTTCAGGTGTGGACAAGAACACAATTTCAGGGGTGAACAAGAACATAATATCAGGTGTGAACAAGAACACAATATCAGGGGTGGACAAGAACACAATATCAGGGGTGAACAAGAACATAATATCAGGTGTGAACAAGAACACAATATCAGGGGTGAACAAGAACACAATATCAGGGGGTGACAAGAACACAATATCAGGGGTGAACAAGAAAACAAAAATGGACAAGGGAGGATGAGAAATGAAGAAGTATGTCAAGTGAAAATGAACCATGATAGTAATGAACAAGCAATACATACAGACTGAACAATTGTGATCAGAGAACCAGCCATTAAAGATTGAGTAACAAAATAGAAGTAAATTCTTTGAGAGAGGCAAGGAACTGACCTTAGAGCCAGAGATGAATTTATCATTGGTACTACAGTCCTCCAGAGGCGTGTTGGTACAGATGTGGTTCTGAATACACCAGGTACAGTTGAAATTACTGGCAGTGCACTTGTAACACCTGAAAAACATAAATACAGGTAAACATGTAGTTTGAAACACAGCATTTTCAACACCGAAATGCCAATACGGAATAAAATACTGAGTAGAAAAAAAAAATTACACAATTTAATCCCCCTCCTGTCAAAGGAAAAAAGGTTAAAGGAAAGTTAATGAATTCTTTCTGTTTCCTTCACATGCTTTCATCAACAGATATGAAATTCTTTTGAGAGTTCTGAATAAAAAATGAGGACACATGTGACCTTCAGAGAGCCGACTGAATTCATGGACTGACAATCAAATTTAACAAGCTCCTCATCACCTAACTGCCATTTGTTGCTAATGATCAAAGCGCCAAGTCTTGTTCGGTGCTTATGATGGGTTTCACATGACAGCAGTTAATAACAATACAGAGAAGAAATTTCTAGACGTCAGGGCCAAACGTGACATCACCTTCTCAGGTTACCTCGATAAATCATTACATAGTTACTGTCAGTAAATCGCTCTATGGCATCACCAGTTTCCATAGTTTCATACAGTAACCCACTAGTAACTATGCCTAAGTTGTCATGGTTACAAACTTTGAGTCACCACCAGTAAATCTGTTCACTGCACCATCAGTGATGATATTCCAGTTACCTTAATCAATTATCTTGAAGTTACATTCAGCAACTTTCTCTTTATCTACAATTATTAAGTTATCTCATGAGACTATTATCTAGTAACCTACAGAAACCATACTAAGATGATCTTTAGTAACATTTCTCTTGAACTTTCTGTTGTATACACATACAGATGTTACCAATAGTTAAAACCATTAAGTTTTACTCCATCATGTCACTTGTCACTACCAGAGTTGTCGTTCCTTAACAACACACTCCTGTAAATGGCTCACAGACTACCAATAGTTAGTTGACTATTGACTACTGACACAGTCAGGGTTCAAAGTTTGATGTCATGGCGTCATCCCTAACATCGATGAAGGACATGGCTGTAGACCATTTTTTATGACATCCAACAAACATCAATCTTCAAAATTAATACTACAGATAACAAAACAGAAAAATGATGAAATACTTTTTTATTTGACTTCAATACGTTTTCAAGAATCCTGAAATGATGTGAGCCATTTACAGAGGTGTTATTGGGTACTGCACCATACTATGGGACAGATTGCTATTAGTTATTTGTTAACAAATTCCATCAATATCTTTTGAGATGAGATGAAATTAAATTGTAGTGAAAACTTCTTGCCTAAAAATTTAACCTTGTGTCATAGATTATGAATTCTTAATGCTACGTTTCTATACAAAAGACTTAATAACTTTATAATCAACTATAATACAGGTTGTTTTAATATCCTAATTGATAAATAAATTTTCCTCTGGTAAACAGAACTCTTAGTAACATATGATGTTTATTGATTTTATCAAAGGAAGCCAATTAGTGTGACTAAGTTGATCAGAACCCCAGGAGATATCAGACAACTGTTCTATGTGATAAATATATTTACTTCTGTTATATATGTTTCTCAACTTATTTATGGAGTTCTAGGTTAGCCCTAATCAGTCTTACTCTCTATGGTTCTGACAATATTTGAAAAAAAAGTTAGAGAAAAAGACTTTCCATAAATCATTAGCTTTTATTATGATGGTGACACCTGTTGATGACCTCTTCAGTTACATGTGGCAATCACTCAAAAGCTTGTCTATACATCAACATCCAAGCTTCTTGGTGAATCAGATGAGTCAATCCTTATTCTTTCATTGGACACCTCAGCGAGTGTGGACAATAGACCTGTCACTGCCAACAACTATTGCAATATGAATATTCAAGTGACTTGTCTTCTCCAATATAATTTGTTTTACAATATTTTGTTTCCTGTTCCGTATTACTATGATCCACAAAATAATTTGTTTGTCAAATTTCCTTATGGCAAGAGCAATCTGAAAAATTTGATTAATTTTTTGAACCAAGATAATGAGGAACAGCCTTGCTGTTATTTCAACATGAACAAATGAAGTGATCCAATATTGGGTAATAAAAATCAATGACATTCTAATTACCAGAGACATTTTTTTTGTTTTCCCTGTCAGAGGCCAAAGTTTTACATCAAGACAATTCAACAGGCTACCAAAGACAAATTATACTGTAAAATCGTAAATTTTTGTGAGGGTTCTATTTTCAATTATTTTGCCAGTATTCTTTATACGTCCAAAAAATAACAACTGATCAAATTTATAAAGATTTTTACTATAATAAAATTTATTATACATGAAAGTTAAAAGCAAAAAATGAGATTATTTTTATACTAGTGAAATTTGATTCTAAGGTAAACTACCGTTTACAATGAAAATCTACAATATATAATTTTGTGGTATCACTTACTACAGCTATTTAGAGTACTGAAATAACAGTATCATCAGCTCATTTTGATCCAAAATGAATCCATAAGAAGCTTGGTTCTCTCCTTGAGAAATGCTGAATAGATTAGCCCTTTGACATCCCTACCTCCTTACTCCATCAAATCAACATCTACCTTGACACAAATCAAAGATTATATTGTCTGAAGATGCAAAAATCTTAAATTATTTTACACATTTCTGACAAGGATTTTAATATTCTCTATACCCTATCCACTGACTTCATGATGTTTTTATTATGAACAATGTTTCTAATACTAAATAATACCAGGGATCAATACCCTGTCAGCAGAGGTCAATACCATGTCACCAGAGGTCAATACCCTGTCACCAGAGGTCAATACCCTGTCACCAGGGATCAATACCATGTCACCAGTAGTCAATACCATGTTACCAGGGATAGATATCATGTTAACAGAGGTTGATACCCTGTCACCAGAGGTCAATACCATGTCACAAGAGGTCAATACCATGTCACAAGAGGTCAATACCCTGTCACCAGAGGTCAATACCCTGTCACCAGAGGTCAATACCCTGTCACCAGGGATCGATACCATGTCACCAGAGGTCAATACCATGTTACCAGGGATAGATATCATGTTACCAGAGGTCGATACCCTGTCACCAGAGGTCAATACCATGTCACCAGAGGTCAATACCATGTCTCCAGGATCAATACCATGTCACCAGGATCAATACCATGTCACCAGAGGTCAATACCCTGTCACCAGAGATCAATACCATGTCACCAGAGGTCAATACCCTGTCACCAGGGATCAATACCATGTCACCGGGGATCAATACCCTTTCACCGGGGATCAATACCATGTCACCAGAGGTCAATACCATGTCACCAGGAATCAATACCATGTCACCAGGGATCAATACCCTGTCACCAGGGATAAATACCTTGTCACCAGAGATCAATACCCTGTCACCAGAGATCAATACCATGTTATCAGAGATCAATACCATGTCACCAGGGATAAATACCTTGTCACTAGAGGTCAATACCATGTCACAAGAGATCAATACCATGTTATCAGAGATCAATACCATGTTACCAGAGGTCGATACCCTGTCACCAGAGGTCATGTCACCAGAGATCAATACCATGTCACCAGAGGTCATGTCACCAGAGATCAATACCATGTCACCAGAGGTCAATACCCTGTCACCAGAGGTCAACCCTGTCACCAGAGATCACCAAGGGATCAATACCCTGTCACCAGGGATCAATACCATGTCACCAGAGGTCAATACCCTGTCACCAGAGATCAATACCATGTCACCATGGATAAATACCTTGTCACCAGAGATCAATACCATGTCACCAGAGGTCAATACCATGTCACCAGAGGTCAATACCATGTCACCAGAGGTCAATACCCTGTCACCAGAGATCAATACCATGTTATCAGAGATCAATACCATGTTACCAGAGGTCGATAACCTGTCACCAGAGGTCATGTCACCAGAGATCAATACCATGTCACCAGAGGTCAATACCCTGTCACCAGAGGTCAATACCATGTCACAAGGGATCAATACCCTGTCACCAGGGATCAATACCATGTCACCAGAGGTCAATACCCTGTCACCAGAGATCAATACCATGTCACCAGGGATCAATACCTTGTCACCAGAGATCAATACCATGTCACCAGAGGTCAATACCCTGTCACCAGAGGTCAATACCCTGTCACCAGAGATCAATACCATGTCACCATGGATAAATACCTTGTCACCAGAGATCAATACCATGTCACCAGAGGTCAATACCCTGTCACCAGAGGTCAATATCCTGTCACCAGGGATCAATACCATGTCACAAGAGATCAATACCCTGTCACCAGAGATCAATACCATGTCACCAGGGATCGATACCCTGCCACCAGAGATCAATACCATGTTATCAGAGATCAATACCATGTTACCAGAGGTCGATACTCTGTCACCAGAGGTCAATACCCTGTCACCAGAGATCAATACCATGTTATCACAGATCAATACCATGTTACCAGGGATAGATACCATGTTACCAGAGGTTGATACCCTGTCACCAGAGGCCATGTCACCAGAGATCAATACCCTGTCACCAAGGATAAATACCTTGTCACCAGAGATCAATACCATGTCACCAGAGGTCAATACCCTGTCACCAGAGGTCAATACCATGTCACCAGAGGTCAATACCCTTTCACCAGAGGTCAATACCATGTCACCAGAGGTCAATACCCTGTCACCAGAGGTCAATACCCTGTCACCAGAGATCAATACCATGATATCACAGATCAATACCATGTTACCATGGATAGATACCATGTTACCAGAGGTCGATACCCTGTCACCAGAGGCCATGTCACCAGAGGTCGATACCCTGTCACCAGAAGTCGATACCATGTCACCAGAAGTCGATACCATGTCACCAGAGGTCAATACCCTGTCACAAGAGATCAATACCCTGTCACCAAGGATAAATACCTTGTCACCAGAAATCAATACCATGTCACCAGAGGTCAATACCCTGTCACCAGAGGTCAATACCCTGTCACCAGAGGTCAATACCATGTCACCAGGATCAATACCATGTCACCAG